CTCAAATCCATCTGATTCAACATTCTGTTATGTTTAATTTTATTGTTGTGTAATGACATGGGTGTGAGGTGACCTGGTGGCACAGTGGAGAGCGTTGTCACCTCACAGCAAGAAGATCGATGATTCGAGCCTCGGCTAGGTCAGTTGGCATTTCTATGTGGAGTTTGCATGTTCTCCCTGTGTTGGCTTTGGTTTCCTCCAGGTGCTCCGGTTTCCCTCACAGTCCAAAGACATGTGCTATAGGTGAATTGAATAAGCTACATTGGCCGCAGTGTATGAGTGTGTGTATGGGGGTTTCCCAGTGCTGGGTTGTGGCTGGAAGGGCATCCACTGCGTAAAACACATACTAGATAAGTTGGTGGTTCATTCTGCTGTGGGGACCCCTAATTAATAAAGGGAATAAGCCAAAAAGAAAATGAAAAAATAAATGACATGGGTATGACTGAATTGTGCACTATTCATGTGCTCTCCCTGTAATTCAAAGCTCTTAAAAAAGTTATGTATTGGAATCTCTTGGCATTCTAAATTTTGCTACAGTTTGGGTTAAGGCGGGGGTGTCCAAACTCGGTCCAGGAAGATTCTAGTATATCTAGTATATTCTAGAATATCTATAGCTTGATTAGCTGCTTAAGGTGTGTTTGATTAGGGTTGGAGCTAAACTCTCCAGGACACCGGCCCTCCAGGACCAAGTTTGGACACCCCTAGGTTAAGGGATAGGAGTATAAATCAGTATAAAATACATTATGACAATGAAGAATCTTAATTAACTTTGTATGTGAGTGTGTCATTTCCGAAGATCTAAGAATCAATTCACAATATTCACAAAACATGCCCACATAAAGACGCTTTTTAATACCACATGTTGTTTACACGGCCATTAATTATTACTATATGACCCTTGATGTCATTACAAAAACTCAATAACATCTAAAATTCCAGTGCATTTAAATTATGCAAATTAATTTGATGAAGATATGAAATTTGATGATCTCTTTATAAGGAAAATATGAAGTTTTACTTAAGATTTGAAGCTAAATTACATGGGGTTCAATGTTGCATAGGTCCATCTGCTAACTTAACCGAATTTATTCAACATAATATCATTACATGAATTTAGTGTATTGAGGGGTTTATGGTCTGAATGCATGCACTAAGTAAAAGAAAAGGAATGTATCAGGATTAAATCCTTTAATATTTTGACACACAAACAGTCCAAAACCATTGGCTGCAAAATCAAAACAAGTAAAATTAGGGCTGGGCTAATAAACAATATTATATCAAATTGTGATAAAAATGTATGTCAATAACAATAATAAGCTCGGGACATTTTTACTTTATATTGATCACAGAGCCAATCACACAGCAGAAATATTCAACAAGAACCGTGTGTTAATATTTGAGATGTATCAAATATTCGGCCTCTGAAAACTTATCGGCCGAAAATATGTTATGCCATTTGATGAACCCTATAATTTTTGTGGCTTCAGTCATTGTTGAGGTACTCTTTTAAATCTGGAAGCAATAAAAACTTAAATCGAAATATTTATCATAACCATTTAATATAGAGAATTATTATCGAGATTGCATTTTGCCATATCGCCCAGACTTAAGTGAAGTGCATTAAAAACACACTATAGGGCTACTATTGTACTTGTGTTAAAATATCTACCTGTGAATATTAAATTCATCATCTGACACTGATCAACAGTGTGAAGAAAACTGTGCTTGTCAACAAAAAAAGGATGATATTTTGCAAACAAATTCCAAGCAGTCCGTCTGCTCTCCATCTGCTGTGAGTCACGCAAACAGATCTGTTAGTATAGCTATGTTGTCAGGTCAGCTTGGCCAAAACAAACAAGGCTTGTGTGTCTGTTACAATATGTTTGTTTGTTTTTTTACTGAACTATAAATCACCACTTCAGCAGCTCTTAAATGCACCAAATACACCAAACTTAGGTTTACTCATATCTACTTTCTGTAGTGTGTTCAACAATAACTTGCCTGAATATACAGAATTTCCCTTTTCCTCCTCCTTGCAGCAACATTTTCAGATGTTCTCAAAACCTTAGTATGAAAAACAAAAGAACAAGTATTTTAAACCAGACCTCATTCAATGTTCACATTTGTATGCTAGAAATGTATAAAAAATTGTGTTATTAATGAAATAATGCCTAAAGTGTATTCTTAAATGTCTATTTTTGCTTAGTTTTTAGAAAACTGTACTAAGAATGTTAATAAAACAATCAATTAATCAAATGTGGGGGTGAGAATTGATTAATATGTTTCTCCTATTCGCCTCAAGTGTCTGTGACAGTGAAAGTACGACTTGAAATTGGTATACATCTTCATTTGAGAGAAGGTGTTAATTAATAATGTATTGTTGGGTTATTTTTGTACTTTAACTCACCTCGCGTTTGGAAATGTTTACTGTGAGCCGCAGTTCTATCGCCCTCTGTTGGACTAAACGCGTGAACACACGAGCAGTCAAACACATGATAATTCGTCGCAAAACAGGAACTGTCGTAAAGATATTTTGCTTAGCGGCAGTTGTACACAAGATACACGTGTATCCAGAGCTTTTGGGAATATAAACGTAAGTGTCACATTATGAATATATATATAGTTTTAAAGAGCCGTTATCACAGCATAAATATTGAAGTTTTCATTATAGCGTTGTTTTACTTGATGTCTCCTTAAATACGAAGCTATTTTTGCAAGTATGAGAACGCTAACGTTAATGGCTAACAAATACCTTCGTTTTCATTTTAAACAGAGTGCTTTTACGTATGAATATTGTCCTCTGTATTCTGTGGGTGATTCGTTAATTATAAGGTGACATTTGTTATGTTATGAATGATTTTTACCGGGTTGTTTGAGCTCTGTATCTGTGTTTCGTGCTTATGAAGTGTTCAACACGTTCAGTCTCTGTAGCTCGCCGAGTTTTGAGGTCTTGTAGTGTCTAATCACGAGCTGGTAATCAGTTGAAACAGGTGTCTAATTATGAGGGAGGGAGACACTTAAAATGTGGAAAACACCAAGAAAACTTTCAGACTAGAATGAAAGTGAAAACCATATTCCTTTAAATATATTGAACAGCGATTATGGTTGTCCAGCATCAAAACAACAGAAGTGTGATACTTTATGTAACGTTATGATATGAAACTTTTTTTTACGTAACGTTACTTTAGAATGTGTCCCGAGTAAAACAAAACAAGGACAATTGGAAGACACCCAGTGTTATTCAGTGTAATAGTTATTTATAAATCTTGTCAGGCATATTTATAAACCTGTTTATAAAAGTTGTTTCATCTTCTGTTGAACACAAAAGAATATATCTTGAAGAATGCTGGATGCTTGCACTCATTGATTTCCATAATAGTAGGAAAACAAATACAGAAGTCAATGGTTGCCAGCATTCTTTGAAATATCTTAAGTGTTCAAAAGAAAAATGAAACACAAATAGGTTTTAAACAAGCAAGGGGTAGGAAATGACAGAAATTGTATTTTTGGATGAACTCTCCTTTCAAAGCTCACAAAATTAATAAAACAAATTAATTAAAACTTTATATTTGTCACTTACCAGATATCCTGCAGTTTGTTCACTTGGATTTCCATTCTTTTTTTTTTCTTTTTGTAGAGTAAAGAGACAATTTGATAATTCTCAGTTTTACTGAATTTAGCAGGTATGAGTTTAAATAAAATATTAAGATATTTCATAAAGGTCTAATAAAATTCCTTCTAATTTCAGATAATTCTTAAATTCTTAACTCGTACGTTTAATAACCTTTTTTTTTTTTTGCTACTTGCTACATGAAAACATTTAGGATATGCTATACCTTGTGGCGGAAATGTAATCAGTTGTTTATTTTTTTTTACTGGGATAAAATTCTCAAATCTAGTTAAATTGATATTTTTTAAAGTGGTCTCTTTTTTTCATGGTTGTATTTCTTGGTCTGAGGGTCTGTAAACATGGATCCAAATGATAAAGACTCATTGAGAGTTGTTTAAATAAATAAAACTACTGAAAATGCAAAAACTATATAATCACTTATTACTGGTACTTATGTAATCATTACCTTGCTTTTGTCTTTTTTTTCTGACCTCAGTTTCCGTCAGGATGGCAAAGAGTTTACGCAGCAAGTGGAGGAGGAAAATGAGGGCAGAAAAGAGAAAGAAAGTTGCCCCTAAGGAGCTGGCACGGCTCAAATCAGCACTGGGTCAGGGAGAGAAAGGAGAGATCTCCATGAAAGACGTAGCCGAAATCGCCACAGTCGTCCCGCCTGAGAAAGTCAAGCAGAAGCCAGCAGATGTGGACATGCAGGAAGAAGAGGGTGAGATTTAGTTGAAACACTTGATTCTCTCACATTAAAATGCAGTCGTTTAATAATCTGTTGTTTCTTGCTTGCAGCGGATGGTGGAAAGATGGATTTGGACACTAAACGCAATAAAAAGACAATGTTGGATGAACACGGACGATACCCGGTCTGGATGAACCAAAGGCAGGCGAAGAAGCTGAAAGCTAAACGTGTGGGTAAAAATGGTAAACCTAAACCCAAGAAGAGACTTGCCTGGTAGGAGGACTGACCTGCTTATGTATGGACATTATTCCTGTTACTGCGGTACAGGAGCCTGTTATTCTGCTTCATGTACAGATCGTTCATTTCACATGTCTGTGAACAGTTTACGGAGACTCGAGCAGGAAATGTCTTTACATTATCAGCAATTCTGAAATGTAATGACAGATCTGTTATTGACAAGATACTGGTTGTGAATTCTTGTTGAAAATTGCTCTTCAGTTCACTAAGAAAATATAGAGCGGAGAAAACATCAAGACTCTTCCAATAAAATAAATCGTCTTTTTCTATCTTTTTTGATCCATGTCACACTCAGTGGGTCCGCTTTAATTTGAAGATGTGATGGATTATGTATTTCCTTTGCTGGCTTAGTAATTATGAGTGTGCACACTTTTGTTTATCTGAATAAATCCATTATACCTCATAACATGTTTTGTTTTTTTATTTTGTGATCAACACAAATGCATAACATTGAGTTAATGAAGCATAAGCCATAGAAATCCTGGAGTATAAAACAGTGTATTTCTGCATGGCATCATGGCAAACATTTGTAAATACTTTTAGTCCTCATATACACTTTTATAATAGTGGTAATATGACATTTTGTAATTTAGCAATGATTCTCAATCTATTATTTATGATAAACTATTATTTAAAATATCATATGGGAATTTTTACACTTTTAAAAAAAGTTTTATACCGTACAACTTGAAATTATTTAAAACAGTTAGGAGTAATTTTTTAATGTTACATTACTACACACACTACTGTTCAAGAGGCTGAAGTCAGTCATTTCTGTTCTGTTATGTTACATAAATTAATACTTTTATTTAGCAAAGATGCATTCAATTGACCAAATATAAATCAAAACTATGTCAAGAAATCTTAATGTTACAAAAAGATTTCTAATCCAAATGTTCAGCTGTTCTTTCAAACTTTATAATCATTTATATTCATTATTGGGGATTTTTGGATTGTTTTGGACAAGTATATATGTATACAATATTTCGGCTTGCTTGGTTAGGGACGTGTTGAAGTGAATATTTTGGTTGCTAACCAAGTGCCTTATGGAAAAACTTGAAAGATGCAGGTTCATTAAAATAACCAAAAATGAATTCTCTCTCTCTGTACAATTCAGTATATTGCACTTGTTTGTCAGATAAATGCAATAAATTATCTGTAAGTGGCTAATAAACATTCTTTTCGACCACTGATATTTAGCAACTACAAAAGCTCCACAAAGCTTGCAGGAAACAGGCCTGTGCGGCCATTACACATTCCTTTCCACCAACCCTCGTCCACCATCTCAATGTTAGTGATGATGTCATCTGGCATAAAGGAGATCTCGTCACTGTCCTCTGCAAAAAAGTATAATAAATATGCATTAAAAACACGCACATACAAGAGCATAATTCTGCAGAGTTGTTTAAATGGAGATTTCACACCTAAAAATTCTGTCATCATTTAATCTTTACTTGTTTCAAACCTGTTAGACTGACTGTAGAACACAAAAGAAGATATTTTGAAGAATGCTGAAACCTGTAACCACTGACTTCCATGGTATTTGTTTCTCCTACTTTAAAAGTCAGTGCTTACAGGTTTGGCTTTCTTCAAAATATCTTCTTTTGTGCTCAACATTATAAAGAAACTCATAAATGTTTGCAACCACTTGAGGGAGAGTAAATTATGAGTAAATATTCATTTTTGGGCAAACTATACCTCAGGAAAACCACAGTTTCCTTACAAACTTGAGTAAATCATTTGCATTCTATTTGCTCATGAGAACAAAAACGTCACTGTGGCAAACTGCAACAAAATATTAATAAATAAAATTATTGCAACCAGAGAAGCTGCTGTAGCTCTACTGCCTACACAAAAATTACACTGCTGTCTTATTATCTTGCGTACAGAAGTGGAAAACTGATGTTTATGAAACAAACAACTCAAATCCTTTCGATAGCGAACTTTGGTTTCAGAAAGACTAAAAAAAATAAGCCTCCATTTTATGAAATTTCCCAAAATGCATGGCTGGAAAGCCATCTGAAGGTCTTGTATAAAACTAGTATTAATATACAGTTTCATTGATCTGATCACAAGTGGACAATGTTGTATGCAGGTGTGAACAGTCTAAAAACTTAAGCTTCCAAAGGTTGTTAAAAACATTACATTTGATTGCTTTCATGAAGTAAATACTCATGGGGTTGAAAGTGTTAAAACAGCAGCAAAAGACTACATACTATTTGCCTACTGATCTCATTCTTAATAATTAAGTCACCTGTTGTTGAAGCATGCTGATCAGATGGATTTTTGGGAAACCTTTAATTTGATAATTGATTTAGCAGCCAAAAAAAGTTTTGTGACTGTCAAAGCACACAATTTGTTTTGTTTGTGACACCACAATGATAACTGTTCTACCTTCATAAAATCTCAAAATCTCTAAAGTGATGTGAGAAAAAAATGGTTTCTACAGTTAGGTTGGTGTAAAATTTACAGTTATCACAAAAAAACATCTAATATTTAACTAAAAATTAAATTGTGTAAAAATACAGTCTTTGTAACTCAGAGAAAAGCTCACATTCATTTATTTTGTGAAACACAGGTTTGACAAAGTGTAAAATGTACTGTATTTTATGGAGAGCAACATACAGGGAGATGATTTCACTAATCGAAAAGTGTTGCATGATCTGGCTTTCCAAGTGATGAAAATGCCTGATTTATTTTAAGATTTTCTACAAACAATTTGAAATATATATAATAACGTACATACATGTCAAAACTGAATTAATACTGTATTAGGAACCCATCGAAAAAAAAAGGAAATAAATTCTATATTTTCACTTTTGTGAGGGTGTATATTTTATCAGTTTCACTGCTCTAACGTATACTCAGTATTTTTAGTTTAACTTCTAGAGAGAGATACAGTATTAAATGTAAAGAATCAATAAGAGATGCAATCTTTCAGCAGAAATCTAAATTAGTTGACTAAGGAATTTAAGATAGGTTAAATGGTATTGATCAGTATGAAAATTGCATGGGCGTATTCTGCGATGTAAGACAAAAAGATCTGAAGCTCATTCACAAACCCAACCATTGACCTCTCTCAATAAAAAGTGGAAAAAAGAGATGGATTTACATGCCAGACGTAAACTAATAATGATCTTAATACCCGGTGTGAACAAGGCTTCAGTTGTTATGCAGTTTTACACTTGTACGTACCTCCTTGGTAGTCATAAATGGCCCTGGCTGTTGTTCCTCCCCCACCTAAATCTTCATAATCATTTTCCCCAGCTGTTGACAAATCCAAAAAATCAGGTGTCATATTTTAGGCAAACTTTTTTTCCCATCAGTTATAATAAGAGCCATTATTTTCCTTTCCAGCACATGTAGCAAATGTCAATGAGCATGTCACAAACCTTGGGCGGAGTATGAGCCAACATCCTCATAATCTTCCTCCTGAGGAACAGGAGGAGGTTCACATTCAGCATAGGTTTCGTCTTCCAGCAAATCAGATGGTCGTGGTGGCAGAGATGGTGGTTCCTCATTTTCAGGCTGATTCTCCTCCTGAAACACAAGCAAACTGATCAGATTCTTGGTATATGTGCTTATAAAGAGTACAATGTTTTATTATCAGTCTTCAAACTATGATGTGTCTTGTTTTTTCAAAGGGCTATTTGAATAGAATTTAGTGTGTTATTAGTGTGTATGTTTAGGACACCACACAAAATAATAACAAATATAATGAATAAATAAATTGTTAAAATCATCCAACATTGTTATTAACCCTTTAAATTATTTGCATTATTCAGGACTGATGCTGGTGAAAAAAATAATAATAAAAAAATATGAATAAAATACTATAATTTGGTATTGTGATGGGGTCAGATTTCTGTCTTCAAACTCATCCCAGAAAGGATCAACGTTTATTCTTTTTCCTCATTACTTTATTCATATGAGTATTTGAATCAGTATTTAATCTTCGAAATGATTTTGACCAATAAATAAAATTAAAAATTAATTAATTTCAAAATATATTTAGGAATGTTCACTTGGGGTGTCTTTGTCCCTATCTTTGTCTGTCAAACTCTATTTTCAGGAGCTCCCAAATCAGGTCACAGGTCATAGAGACCTCTTGAGTGGACCTGGATTCTTAAAGAATCAGAAACAACTATGGTTATTTTCAATGTGTTAATTATGTCTAAAGCGATATTTGCCTTTCTAAGCGTTAAATCTTTTTAAAGTTAATTCCTTTGTACGTAAGATGCCAGTTTTGATGTAGATTAACATCCGGTTTTTACCCAATTTTGATAAAGATAGCTGAGAGTACACTTAGCCTTGGATAGGAAACAGATTGTTTTTTGTGTGTGTGTGTTCTATTCCTTTTTGATTCATTTCACAGGTCTGGGGCCAACTCTGAAGTGGCTGTCTGACGTTTGTATGCTTGAGATATCGAGATATTGTATACATGCTCATGAAAATTTTCCTAGTCTAACCAATCAGCTTAAAACACCTATATGTACGACACAGTTAATGATGTTATGTGAGAGTATAATTGTTGTGGATTTGTAATTGTAAGGAGAGTGGCCTACAAACTCATTGCGGGTGTTGAAGCTGGCTTCTGCGGATGAAACTGCAAACTATGTTCAGTAAACTTTCTTTTTAATTAAATCTCTGACTCCAGCTCTTCTTCATCTGACAGACAGCTCATTTTTGGGTTTAAACTGTAATTATCCCTACAATTGTAACAGACATTTTCGTCCTCTGTGAATCTATGTGTGATTTTTTTTTTTTTAACTGATGCACAAGTGTTACTTCAAATAAACAAAAAGTGTCTTGCCTCAACGTCAGGTTCAATCTCTTCTCTGGGAATTTCCGGCAGTTTCCTGAACTCTTGTTGGGGTTTCTGGGATACTGGCACAGGGGGAGGACTCTGTTTCTCTTCCTCCACATGCTGGCTTTGCTCCTTAGAAGAGAAAACAAGCAATAGTCAGTGTTTGTCTGTGTGTGTGTGTGTGTGTGTGTGTGTGTGTGTGATTGTCTGGTGAGTGTAGGTGGGTTATTTATTCTTACGCTGGCTTTCTATTAAAGTGCAGTGTGCAAATCTATATATAAATATATGCATCAAGACAAATGAACCTCCTGTTTGCGTCGTGCCTCTTCTCGTTCTCTTTTCTCTCTAGCGAGTCTTCTGGTTCTCTCCTCCTCTGCTTTCTTCTTGTTGTCCTCATCTGAGGCCTTCGCCATGTTCTCAAAGCAAGCTTTAAGGTTTCCAGCTCCTACACTTGCTATTATACACCAATAACACATAATCAAGGGTTAGCTGTATATAATATAAAAACAGTAGACCATTGTCCAGTTAAAATGCATGAATGCAATTCCATTACTACACAAAAAACTGAAACAAAAAAAAAAGAAGATCAAACTGAATTCATAATGTAAAAATTTGTAGAAACACTCACAGCCCTCGAATGCTTGAGGCTTTTCATAAGATGATGATGGTGACTCCATCTTATTGAATGAAGATGCATTCTGTGGGAAAAGACTAAAAGTACATTCACTGGGAAGATGTCAAACATTTGCTGAATAATTTATAGTTTAAGGTGAGACACTGCAGGCAAAAAAAATCATGCACCTGTCAATTTTGAACCATTTGCCTTTTTATTTCAGTCTGATTAAAAATTTCTCACAGTTGCAAATTAATGTATATATTGCACAGATTTTACTATATTTGCCATAAGTGCAACTATTTCTATACTGTTATTTGTATAGAATTATTTCTCGCAATGTGAATTTTCATGGTGTGATTTCATTTCTTAAAATTCTTTATTTTTCATAATAATAACCTATTCACCATAACTGTGACTAGAATATATTGACTTTACAGTGAGAGCTTTTCTTGTAAAAACATTTTTTTGTTTCACATTTTTCTATTTCAATACGTGACTATATTGAAAATTCAAATATAATTTATAATTCATAATTGCTACTTAATATCTTAAAATTCAACCATTTCTTATTTTTCAATCTTTTAAGAACTTTTGGTCCGACTAATTACATATAGAGTTACACTTTTGACTCATTTCTTACACCTTAATCCACCCTTAAACCCATTCATACCTGTCCCTATCCTTACCCGTATACCACCTCAATAGCACCATATGTTGTGCAATGCAAATATGAAAACATTTTACATGTTTTTTGATCTAAGTACCTAGTATGCCACTTAATATGAAGTGGGGTTCAACTTTTACTGAATAAACTAATCAATAATTAGAGTGAGTGAATGAAAGAATGAATGGAGTATATGAATGAATGTGATGAATAAACTAATTGATGAATAATTTTGGACAAAAGCATCTGCTTAATGACTAAATTTAAATGAAAGAATGAATGAATAGATGAAAAAATAAATAAATGATTAATTGATTGATTGGTTGGTAGGTAAGTAGGTAGGTAGGTTGGTAGGTAGGCTTCCATAATAATGGCTACACAATTCTGTGAAGTTTACCTTATCCATACGATCCTCCTGGACTCCATAACGTCCTCCAAAACCTTTTGCATAGTCTACCGAAAAATAAGAACATATTAATGCATTTGCTTTAATACAATCATTATAAAACATATACCAGAATAAACTGGGTTTCAAAAGAGTTTCCCATTAGTCACATGATTGCAGGCAATATTTTCAATACCTTTCTGTGACTGATGTTTCTCTGTTTCTCCCTTGTAGTCGTAACCCAATGCAGCCTTGTCAACCTTTTCTTTTTCCACACCATATTTCCCCCCAAAGCCTTTTGCATAGTCTGTAAGACATTTAGAATTATTTTATCGGAGTATTTTATCTTGTGGTTGAACAATCAAGTCTCAAATGCATTTTAAAGGACATTAGCATCTGGTCTATTTATGACTATAGCTATCCAATTACAAAAAAAAGCATGTAAACAGGCCTTATAACAGCAGAAGTAGAACTTACCTTTCTGTGACTGATGTTTCTCAGTTTCACCTTTGTAATCATAACCCAAAGCAGCCTTGTCAACCTTCTCTTTTTCCACACCATATTTCCCCCCGAAGCCTTTCGCGTAGTCTGTGAGATGTTCAGAAAACAGAATTATGCTTCATAAACTATCCTTTAAGCAAAAAAATTTCACATTTGGATTAAAACTGGAATGTTTGTCAATGTGGTTCTGTTAACACCTGCTCACTGCTCACTGTGTTTTCTCTGATTTTTGAAAACGGATCCATTGACATTTGTCACATAATTGTGTCTCAGCTAAACAGATATAATATATATATATATATATATATATATATATATATATATATATATATATACCTAATTAACTGTTACATTGATCAAAGATAAACTCTTATAAAAAGCATTCAATTTGTAAATTATAAAACTCTAGTGTAAATCAATTTATTAGACTATTAGATTTAAACATAAGCTACGTATAATATTTGACAAACAATTGATTTCACAATAGCTTTAAATATTACAAAGCAGATATTATTCTGGTTAAAGAATGTTTTGTACTTCACTCAGGTTCCTGTAAAAATCCAAAAATAATAAATGAAACATCTAAAATACTATTTTGTTGTTGTTGTTGTTGTACAGATGCTCAAGACATCATTCAAAACTGTGGATTTTCATAAATTACATATTAACATACAGTCCTCAAAACAAAAACTATGCTTTTGTAAACAAACTGTGTTTTTTTTTCCATTCAAGTACATATGGACGATGCCATTTTATATTAATTCAACATTCAAATATAATTGCTTATGAAACGAAACAATAAAATAAAATGAAACAAAGATTCCATAATCTCATCTGGGTCATTGTCATTGTCTTGCATTTGCGTTGTTCTATCTGACAATGTAATATCGTCTATAGGAGGAGTAAAATTTACATGCAGATGCATTTAGACTTTTTGTTGTCTGGAATGCGTCCCAAACCTCGTTTGGAAGTGGTTTGAGCAATCATGTCTCAAATGCACTTTAAAAGGCATTACATCTGGTCCTTTCATGATCTGATAGCTATCCAATTAGATAAAAAGCATGTAAACAGGCAGCACGGGTAGAACTTACCTTTCTGTGACTGATGTTTCTCCGTTTCTCCCTTGTAGTCATAACCCATTGCAGCCTTGTCAACCTTTTCTTTTTCCACTCCATATTTCCCCCCAAAGCCTTTTGCGTAGTCTGCGAGATGTTCAGAAAACCAAATTATGTTTTATAAAAACTATTCCTCCACCAAAGGAAGGTCAAAATACAAGATCAGAAACCAAAGAGACCTTTCTGCGACTGGTGTTTCTCAGTCTCGCCTTTGTAGTCGTATCCCATCGCAGCCTTGTCAACTCGCTCTTTCTGCACACCATACTTTCCCCCAAAACCCTGAGCGTAATCTTAGGAAGAGTAATGCAACGACTATTATAGACAGAAGAGGAAAAATAGAGGACAAAACTTGGGATGTATGAATGTAGACTTACCTTTCTGAGATGCATGCTGCTGTACCTGAGCCTTGTATTCATAGCTCATGGCAGACTGGAGTCAATCAGTAATGAAAGGCAAAGAAATTAAAGCTTTTTTATTGCAGATTCTTTCAAAATTAATCACTCATTTTTTGACTAATTATTTATAAACTAATTAACTGAAATTAGTTGAAAGGGAAAGAGGTTCTAACCTTGTCCACTCTGTCCTTCTGTACACCAAATTTCCCACCAAAACCCTTTGCTGCATCTGTCTGGGATGAGTGCTGTTCCACCTCTGCCACATAGCTGTGTCCTAAAGCACCCTGGGAAAAATCAATAAACCGTCAAATGAGAATCACTCACAAGAAACGGAGGTAAAAATGAGGTCCCTTTCTTGGTCCTAATTTGAAGTTCTCCTAACAGGTGCAAAAGAGCAGTTTTTGCTTAAGGAATGATGTACATCTAACCGATTGTTTTTACATAAGGCCTGACAGGCTTAACAGCAGCCCAATGTACAGCACAGAGCTTTTTTATAGGACTGAAGGCATTTATTCTTTAAAAACAACCTGCTATATGTACATTGTTCTGCTTATCACATAGCTATTTGCCACAAAAGTAAACAATTTGACACAAAACATTGATTTGAGCTGTAATCATTTATTTCTCTTTAATTATACGTAAAATGTGCATAAAGAAGACAACTGTCAACAAATGGCTGGGTACAGTCTACTACAATAACTTACTTGCATTATTATGGGGTGTATGCAAAGGGACTTTTAATTTTGAGTAATCCAGCTCCGGTGAACTGTCATGAACCATGCTATGGAAATTTATTTTACCACAGTATTTTCAGATGGAGGTTAAACAGCATTTCATCTCATTTTACACCTGAACAACTAAATTTACTTAAGTCTATTATCAATGCTGTAAAAGAAACCTTATGAAATTGAAAATAGTCAAATCAACCTTTCACCAGATGTTTATTGGTAGCTGAAAAACACTTGCCATTCATATAGCACATTAAGTCGCAAGATGGGACCAAACAAGAACAGCAGCCTATAATATTTATATGAATGTATTAACTAATAGCCAAGATAATAGGAAGTACCCGCATGAGCCTGTGTTATTGGTTACTATCTGTCAATGACATTAGGATGTTGATTGACCAATCAGATTCAAGTATTTCAGAGAGCGTTGTAATAAGGATATTTAATGAGTTGCATATATTCTGAAGCACAGTAGAACAAAAAAAACTAAAATATTTGGGAAAAAAACATTGAACAAAATTAGAGAACTCTTTTAGATATCAGTTATTGCTGTTGATTTGTGCCTGCTGGTTATTTCCCCATTTAACTGACAAACCCTTTTACTAACTTTGTAAGATGGTGAGCTGTTAATGTGGCCGAAATAGATAATAGATTTCAACAGCTAGATTGTGGAAGTTCAAATTCTGCAGATCTCGTGCAGGAGAGTACATTGCCTTCAAATACAAGCAAAAACTGTGAATGTTGTTTTATTGATGCTACATGAGTTTAATTTAATTTCATCAGAATACCTCATGGGTACCTTCTTGGCTTCCGAACAAAAACTGTTATGTAATTCACCTTGCTCACACAGATGTGACTTTTAAACCAAGTTGGTCAGTAAAGCGAATCAGCAAGATTTTTGGCCCTCAAATGAATTTCTTCTTGAAATAATTGGATTTAATGAAATAAAAAGGTAACAAAGAATCATTTGGCACACTTTAGAATTTGAACTTGTTTTTTTTTTAATCTAACCTTGTCCATTCTGTCTTTCTCAACTCCAAATTTCCCTCCATAGCCGTAAGAAGCTTTAGGACCCTGGTCCAACTCCTTCTTCTTAACCACCTCATGTTCCCGAGACACATTCTGCCTGAGATCTGCAATGCTACACACACAAACACAGACACGTTAATACATGCTGCAACTTACCATGGAATGTCAAGGTGGCAGTTTTGCAATGCACTCATTTCTTTGCAATTAATTCCTGGTGCTCATTTATATTTTGAACTTCAAATTATAACTGCAAATTACACATACAGTTATTGTAATTGTTTTTAAAATGCAGTGTGACAGTGCAATATCTTATTCCGCTTCTGATATGATGTCAGCTTGATCTTGTCACTCCATATTTGGAAATGCAACTCAAGTAGGCTGCAGTTCTACTTCCTATTTCCTCTATATAGTGTAGCAGTACTTTAAGCAGTGCTTTCTGTTCAGTGCTATGTAGTGGCATGAAATCAGCCTGATTTATCAATATATTGTAGCATTTTACTTTTTGTGTAAAATGTAGCATTTGTAAGAGTTACCTGATGTGTTCTTTTCGGCCTGAACCTTCTATGGTTTTGGCACCCCATCTCTGTTCTTGTTCTGAGACATCATTCTAAACGGACACATTTACATAATAATAATAATAAATAAATGTTGTGCTTGGAAATGAGACTACATATTTACATCAGAACTTTTTTTATTCCTCCTCTCTTCTTACCTCAAAATTTGGATCTGTTTCCCAGTCGTCCCCTTGTGATTCAGTCTCCACAGTAACATCATGCCCCACTACAGATTTCCACATCTATAAAACAAGAGAAGTCAAGATTTCATAGGTCATATTACATTTCCTTGTGTCCATACTACTGGGTATTGTTATGCATTACTTAAAGTAATGTATAAATCCATTAAATGATAAATATTATCTATAAACAATGTTTAAGTGACGATATTGCAATATTGTAAACAGGAAATTAGTAGTAAAATAGTAATACAAATTATGACAACGTAAACACCGCAGCTTGATGGTTTAATTTTAACGTCCAAGAAAAAAATTAAAGCAAATAACATTTCCGTAGATGAATATCTCTTTACATAAAGCGAGTTAAAACTTGTGCTCCAAGTTCCTCATTTATTGTAGACTTAGATGGAAACTTTTGCACGTTCATTGCTAAAAAGTAATAATAATTACACCATGATTTTAACAGCTTTTGAGAACATTAAAATGCAGATACATTAACGTTGTATGTATTGTAAATACAAACTTATAACTTTGTCTTTCCTTAACGGAGAAAAAAGTATGGCAACTTTAACCTATCAGTTACTTCCTGACCAAAGAAGTTTCGTTTCTTTCTGCATGCATCGGCAATAACAATATGAACAGACGACAATTAGGAATACTCACTTTGTTATTGCTTTATTTCCGTCTTTTTGTGTCCGTTAAGTGTCAATGTCAGCGTCAGATAAACAATAGCTCAGAGCTCAGATTTGACCTGCGCTCGAATGCGCGCAGCCTATGCTGAATACTTGAGGCGTCGCGCACGCGGTTACGCGCAGCAGAGTCCCACCTGTGCGCTTCCATCCGGTAACAAATAAAACAGTACAAGTTTAATTGCATATATCGCCCAAAGTCTCAAAATAATAAATGAACATGTAATTGAAGTAATTACATTTAATGAGTCATTGCAATTATTAAATATACGCATTGGTCACTTTATTGGATGGCACTGTTCAACTGCTCGTCAATGAATATTTAATAAGCCTCTATATTTAATAAGACTCTACATTTAGATTAGATATGATAACAGTCAAACAGAGCATCATTGTGGGGAGATAAGAAAATTTAAGTGAGTGGATGTGCCTAATCTGGAGAATTTCTGAACTGATCAATGGGATTTCCCGAAATCACTTTAAGTGTTTATAATGAATGGTCCGAGATAGAAAAAAATATATAGTTGTGGCATTTCTGTTGATGCCAGAAGGCAGAAGAGATCGTCCTGACAGGTTCTGCTGATAGACACTCCACAAAAACTCAAATAACTTATAACAACTGAGGTCTGCAACGGGACAAACATGGGAACAGATGAACCTCAGCAGCAAAAGAGCCATTCTAGTAAGCTAAAAAAAAAAAACCCAAAAAAAAAACCTGCAAACTGAGGCTACTGCACACAAAGGATAATTAAAAAGACAGCAGAAAACTGGGTGAAAAAAGTGTGGTCTGAAAAGTCTAATGCAACAAATTTAAAATTTCGCATAAGCTGATCCATCCTGCCATGTGTCACCAGTTCTGGTTGCCGTTATTGGTGTATATTCACGAATATACAACAAACCCCTTAGTACAACATAAGCATTGTTTAAACACCACAGCCCACCCAAGTATTGTGTTTGACCATGTTGAATCCTTCATGTCCACAGTAAACCCAATGAGTTAGTTCAGTGTACTCATATGTTCTCCACAGCCACCAGATATGCAATATGGACCAAAATAATTTGGAAAAGTTTCCAGCACAGGTTCCGCTACTGGCAAGTGTGGCAAAGTTTATCTAATACTGAAGCTGATATGTCACATTACAACAACAAAATTAAAGTAGTATGGATTATATTTGTACTACACACATCCATACTATACATAATATACTTTTTAGTGGTTGAGAAGAAAATCAGTACCTACCTCATAAAACTAGGAAGAAAGCATTCGGCACCATTATAAGATCTCAAAATGCTATTAGGCATTTATTTCAAACACATGATCAACTTAAAAGAAAACAGGTTTACTGTACAATCAATTGTACAATAGCAGCACCATCATATCTAAGAACACACTATGTCAACCAGATGTGCATGTCTTCCCATAAATAGACTTTATTTCCAAAAAATAGCCCCTACAACAGGGTAGCAGGAGGGAGAGAAATAATCATTTACACAGATTTTACAGATTAAACACTCACCGGGCTGAGCTTCAAATCTCACTGTAAATAGAGACAACATTTGTATCACAAGCTAATCCAGCCCTGTACAGCCCAAACAGATCAGAGGGACAGGGGTGAAGTGAGAAGAGGAAAGTTGGCTCTGGTTCAAAAAATGAGCAGAACGTGAATGATTTGAAGTGTATATTAAACAGAAACAAAACATCTAGAGAATTGTTAAGGAAATTATCCAAGTATGAATTATGTCATTTGAGCCTTGAATGAGGGTGATTGCAAGTAATGTCCAGATGAAACTGTAGTGTGTTTAAAAGAAAGAAACTTCAAAAAAAAAAAAAAAACTGAATAAACAACAACAATTAAAACGAACAAAAATAAATGACAGTATTGCACCAAGCTGGCAAACGAATCTGCCATTGAAGAGAAACAGTCAGCACACTAGGACAATCTTCTTACGTCTTGCCATGCAAACAAGTACAGTATCTTTTTCAGCTTTACTTCACATCTGAGTGCGATGACATTATGCACAGACACCAAAAAAATCATTACAGAAAAGTGGAATGTAGCCTGTTTGTCTACTTGTATGCAGTTTAAAAACCATATCAGACAGAAAAAAGATGCTGACACTGTGTCCGTGTCAACTTCAACTACATTTTGCAAATGACTTAACGATTCCTTCATTAAAGATGTGATTATTAAAGGGTAAATAATGTTTTGGAGGAAGTGCAGGTAGTGCTCTAGTGTTACCAGTCTGGATAAGCCCCAATAAAACTGGGTGGAAATTATTTTTTGTCAGAGCTCTCTGATAAAAAAAAGAAAAAAAAAAAACAGATCAAATGTAACTTTGGTAAATAAGCAAGGAAATATGTTAAATTAATTAACCCTGTTATATGATGTGTTCATTTGTTTTAACAAGTGAGTTTGTATGTAACCGTCTCTCTCTGTCTCAGTAAAGCATGATGAGTCTCTCTCACAGATATCCTCCAAAGCACAGCAGCAGCAGCACATGGACAGTCAGAAGATACAGGGACACCAGCAGAGGGGTGCGCTGGCGAGAACAGAAGGCAACCCTCAACATCCGCAGCAGCCCAGGTCCACCACTACGAGTCTGAGGATTCAAAAAAGAAACATAAAATACATAAATTGCTTCTATAATTTTGTATAACATTTATAAATTGAGGTTTTGTTTACCCGTGTAACAGCGCCCTCTTGTGGCTCAATAAGAACAGCTGTCTCTGACATCATAGATGGTGTCTGCCACTCCCCCTGTGTATGGCTGTAAATTATTAAATAAATGAAATGCTTGTTTTTTTTAAGAGTTCACATTAAACAAGTGAATAAAACCAATTAGTTAATATGCCCCAAAAATGTTAACAAGATAGAAAAAGTTTCAGATGCCAATTTGTAAAGACTTAATTGTCTAAAAGTGCCCAAACAGTTCTTGAATGTGCCAGGAGATGATCTAAATCTGAGATTAGGGTCAGACCGTTTGAGGCGATCCTCTGCGGCGATGAGCTGCTCCTCTATTCTGAGTCTCAGTTCTGACTCCTCATCCAGCCTGGCAGACACACACATATTGAATTATGCAGTATAACTATATATTTATACAGTATAATATATAGTACAGCACTGGTGAGGGGCAAAATAAAAGCTAATTTACTTTATTTAATAAATCCAATTCACACTGGACTGACAGATGGCAACAAACCTGCACAATTAGCAGATTGGTGTCTGCACATAATTTGTCAGACAGATATGTAACGTGCAAATGGCTAAAAGAGGGTTAGACTGATGTCAAAAGACATTGATCTAACAAAACGCCTGTTGCTGTGTGTTTGAGTCTGTTGGTGCAGTGTGAACTGGCTTGATAAGCCATATCTATTTTGATATTTGATTGCTATCTATATAAGAAAACAGTAAATTAAAAAAACACAATTCCTAAGAAAGATCAAACTGTGGCGCTAAATGCTCACAAGCTGGAGTGTTTTCTACATCTGCTATCAATGTGTGTTTTGGCACAGGGGATAAAGAGATTGACAGCATAAAACTAGGGATCAGTATAATTAATGGTAAGACCAAACTTGGCAGCAGTACCTTCTCTGGAGCTCAATGCACTCTGCTTTGTATCCTTCGTTGTGCTCTAGAGGGCCACCGGGGGCAGCATCTAATGCAAGTCTTCCCTAAAGGAAAAAGAAACACTTCCGTCTTATTATAACCTTTAAAAATTGAAATGAAAGGCTTCAAATTTGTATATTTCACAATACAGTAACAGGTTTGTAAGTCTTACACTACACTAGGGTGTATTGCTAAATTATGGTGCCATGAAAACAAATATAAAATCAATAAACCTCACCAGTTCGATTTCCTTTTTAGTTGTTTTTTAGTTAAAATGTTGATGGACTGTCGGCATTCAATGTCCCATACTCAATAACAATAATTCAATGTCCCATACACATCAATAAGAGACTAAAGCTTTATTACCTGTCTTTGTGTGTGCTCCTGCTGTAATTTTGATGCCTGTGCTTCCTCCAGCATGGCAGTAAGCTGGCGAATCTGTTGGTCCCTGGCTGAGAGGGTGGTCAGGGTCTGCTGCTTCAAGATCTCGGCCTGGCCCTGCCAGTCCATCCTCTCAAGCCTACTTATTGAAAAACATTTACAAACAATTCTGAAAAGCAGTCCCTTTTGGGAAAAATATTTCTTAGTCTTCTGATTGGCCAATAAAAACTATAAACCAGACCACAATTTAGAGTTTGCAATACTACCACTAAACTGACAAGAGGACAAAATGTCAGTCTCACCTAAGCATTTCCAGTTCTTGTTTATCACTGTCCATGAGAACATCTCTGCTGCTCAGTTGTCCCATTTCTTCTTGCTCCACTGCTCTTCTTCTTTCTGCTTCCAGAGCCTGAGTAAGTCGATCCAATTCAGACCGTTGCACTTGCATCTGTTCCAGCTGAGATACACGGAAGTACATAATTGATATGATGCAAATAAATTAGATAGAATCAAATCCCCTACATTTTAGATTTATTAACAGCATACCATTCTTTCCCTGTCATTTTGCAATGCTGATAGGGCATTTTTTAGGCTCCACACTTCTCCTTTTGGGTCACTTGGGGAAGAAACGGCATGACCTGTCCGATTTATGTCATCAAACCTGAGGCGCAGTTCCTTAGCTTCATTGACAGCCTGATCTCTTGCATCCTGCAGAGAGGCCATAGCTTGACCAAAAGACTGGTTCTGAACTCGAAGCTGAGAGACTGCTTCTCTCTCCTCCAGAAGCTGTTGCTCCATCATCAATAGGTCTCGTGCCAACTCTGCCACCCTCTCCTCAGCTGTTTCAGCTTCAGTTCGCAAAACACCACCTTCCCATCGCAGCTCTTTTAATTCTTTGCTGTGGACTGCCTGGGTCTCCTTTTCCAATTCCAATATTTCCTCTAAATTTGTAATTCGCTTTCTAGCAGCTTGGAGCTGCTCCCTCAGTTTCTCCACTTCTGCCCCTGGTGCATCTTGCTTATCAACGCTTCCTTCGCTAGCCTGGCTCAAGTATTCCTGCTCCAACAGTGGTGCCCTGCCTTGTGCAATGTCTTTTTCGAAAGCTTGAATGTGGTTCACAAGATCTTCCCTTTCTCTCTCTAGGAAACTGATGCGCTCTACCTGGGCAGCTAGAATCTGTTTGTGCTGGGAGTCCTTCATAGTAAGAACCTGGTTCAGGTCATTTCTGTAGCCATGAAGCTGGGCAGCCAACTTGGCATTCTCCGCATTGAGGTCATCCCGCTGTGACAACAGGGCTCGAAGCTCCTCCTTTAACCTGTTGTTTTCACCTGCAGCCTCCTGAATTAGGCTATCCTTCTCCATCATAACCTGAGAGAAATTGAGAGACACATTTACAAAGATACTTTGGATTAACTTTTGTCAGTGTTTTACTCAAAGCAAAGAATTCGGTACAACGTTACCTGGAGGTGCTTTTCCTCAAGCTGCTTGTATTGGCTAAGCACCCTGTCTCTGTCATCCTGCAGAGAGCCCATAGCCTTGGTAAAGGACTCCAGTTGAGCTCTGCTTTGAAAGGTGACCTCCTCAGCCTTACGAAGTCTCTCTTCTAATCCACGCAACTCCTCTCTCCTCTTCTCCAGCTCATTCTCTGCCATCTCTGCCCTTCCATCTGCATCTTTCCTAGCCTCCTCTACAGCCTAAATTTATTAAAGTAGTTAATTACTAGTAATAAGATGAATGAAAACAAATAAAATATAAATGAAAGAATGTGCATGCATTTAAGTCAGAAACATATTCAGTATATAAAGTACCTGTGTCACAGCTTGCTCCTTCTCACCAAGGAGCTCCACCTCCCGCTTCTCTTTTTCACCCAATGCTACCTGAAGTGTTTCAGTAAGGTTCTTTAAAGATCCTAGGTCCGTCTCCAGTTGCTCCACCATCAAGCACAATCTCCTTTCCTCTGTCTCCCTCTCTTTAATCACTGCACGAGCCTCAACAGCATCACTTTGAAGCTGGTCCACTGCTTCATCTAGAGCTTTTGTGCGGTGGCGTAGACCTTCTGCCTCAGTCTCTAGGCTAGCAAGCTGGGAAAGAGCTTGGGAAAGGTTAGCCTCTACCAGAGTGAGCTTCTGCTGCAAATCCTCTCTTTCTTTTTCAAGAACAGCAAGGCTTTCATTGTGCTTCTTTTCTACTGAAGACAGCTCTAGTTGTAGGTTTTCTTCAGCCTTTTGCGTTCTAAAAACATACAACATTTGACAGAATTTAGATTATTTTAAACTGACTTTAACAGTTAACAAATATTAACGAACCGATATGTATAAAAATACATCAGAGAAGTATAAAAAGAAAACAAACCTTTCCAATAAATTCTGCAGTTCCACTTTTTGGGTCATCTCCCTCTGGAGTTGTTCAGAAAGTTCTTTAGCACGAGCCTCTGCTTCTCGAACATCAGCCTCTTTTTCTTGTAATTCACTATGAAAACGATTTTCCCACTGCTTGGCTTCATCCAGAACTCTGTCACGATCATCCTGAAGGGATGACATGGAACGAGAAAAGGCTGCCAACCGAGCCAGCGCTTCATCTAGACGAGCTTGCATGTCCTGGGCATGCCTGTCTGCGGCCTCTGCAATATTCCTTGCCTCCAGAGTTGCCTCTTCTTCCCTTTCACGGTCACGGTAAGATTTCTCTAATCTTAATTCAATCTGTTTAAGCTCAGCTCCAAGGCGATACCTGACTTCATCTAGAGTACGCTCAGCGTCTGCCTTTAACTCTGCCTCTTTACGTTGTATAAATTGTTCAGCAGAAAGCTTGTCTGCTTGGGCCTGCCTTGCCTCTTCCAATGCCATGTCCAGCTTCCCTTTATATGTTGAAAGTTCAGATGCAATAAAAGCTTTGTCTTGCAAAATATTTGCAATTTCCAAGCGTGCTGCCTCAAGTTCTGCCCTCACTTCATCTCTTACCAGTAACAATGACTTAACTTCTTTAGCCAGTTCGCTTATTCTTTCTTGGTACCCAATGCAGTCTTTCTGTAGCTGACGGACTTCAAGTTGCTTTTCCCTCAGCAATTCCTCAAGCTGACGCGTTCTGTTTTGACTACCTTCTTTAAACCTCTGTGCTGATTTCAATTTCTGTTCCAGCTCCCTCTGTTTGCCTGTCTCAGCCTCAGCCTCTGCTCTTTCTCGGTGTGCCTGCCTCATGTCCTCTTCCATCCTGGCTGCACGGTCCCTCTCACTTAACACCTCAGCCTCCAACTCAGCACGCTCTCGCTCCAATTTCTCCAACTCCCTCTGCATGTCTGTGAGACGATCACGACTATCAGATGCCTCTTGCTGATAACCAGCAATGCTGCCATTGAGTTGAGCCAGTTGGTTCATCAGCCTCTCCTCCAGGTCATCCCTTTCAGCCTCAAGGTTCATGCGAAGTTCCTGTAGTTGATTCTCTTTCTTAGAGATCTCTTCTTTATGGATGTCTTCTCTTTCTAAAGACTCCTGAAGCTGCTGCTTGATGGAAGTAAGCTCTGCATCAAGAATTTGCTCGTTTCTGAATTCCATGTGATGTTCAAGGGCAATTTCAAGTTCCTTTATCTTATTCTCTGCCGTTTCAAGTGAGGTCTCCAGTTCTTTGAGTCTCTCTTCTGTTTGAGTTGCAATCTCAATCTTTGTTTGCACTTCTGTGACTTCTTGGTCGGGTTCAGTATTAATTGATTCCAATGGCTTGGTAAGATTAGCCTCTGGGAATATGCTCTCACACTGATACTCTTGGATTTCAATTAAATTCGGACTGTTCTGCTGTGTGATTACTTTAACCTCCTTAATAGTTTCCACAGAGCATGTGTCAAAGGTTTCAACACCTTTACTTTGAATTTTCTCCAAACGCAGTCTCAACTCCTCAGCTTCAAGCTCCAAAGACTTTTTATCATCCAAAGCTATATTGTAATTTGCTTTCAATATTTCAAACTCTTGTTTGATTCTCTCAAGCTCTTGTTTTACGTCAGTTTCCGTATGTTTGGTCAGTTTCTTTTCTTCCTGCTCCCGGAGCCTTTCATTCTCCTCTTCCAGATCCATAATCTTCTGATGCTTGACCTTGGCAAACTTCCTCATTTTATCTTTCACAACATCCACCTCCTTCATTGCCTCCTCAGCTAACCTTTCTGCCTCTTGTCTGGCTGCCTCATGAGCTCGTGCCTTGGTAGCCAACTCCTGCCTCTCCTGTCGAGCAGCTTCAAGTACTTTTCTTACTCGTTCTGCCTCATCACTGACATTTTCATATGATTTAAGGAGGGATTCATACTCCTCTTTCATGTTTTGCACCTTTTCCTCCAGCTGCTTGCACACTTGTTCGGATTCCTCCTTGGCAATGTCAGCTTGACGTTTGCATGCATCCTTTTCATTCAAAACTCCCTCCATAGCAAGTTTCAGGCTTTCACATGAGGCACTCAGGCTTTGGTTTTCCAACAAAGTTCGATCCACCTCTTCAATTAACTTCTCCCTCTCTTCTCTTGACTTGTTTAGCTCCATCTCTATTAATTCCAGCTTCTGATGAAGTTCTAATTTGATCTTCTCAGCAGCCGCCTGTTCCTCCTTTAGTGCCTGTTTTTCTTTGAGTGCCTCCTTGCGTGACACAAGAGCAGCCTGCAGTTTGCGTTGCAACTGTTGGAGTTTGACACCATTATCCTTCTCTTCTTCCTCACGCTGTGGCAGTTCCGCTTCTAGTTTCTGCACCTTATCTTGCTCAGCTTTTAGCCCTTGTTGGAGGGAAACAATTTGCTGATCTTTTTCCTGAACAGTTTCTTGCATCTTAAGAAGAAGACAACTTTGTTCACTAAGCTGTTGGCTTAAATCAACAATCTCATCATTCTTGCATTTAAGAAATTGTTTAAATTCTTCTACTTCCGACTGAAGAGCTTTAATTGGAGACTCTGCATCCGAGATGCTTCTTTTAGCTGCTTCCCAAGCTTCATCCACATCTACTTTCAGCTTCTCAGCATGAGCTTCAGCTCTCTGACATTTCTCCCTCAGAGTCTCTATTTCCTGAGTGAGAGCATCAATATGCCTCTCCTTTTCTTTCATGGCTTCAAGTTCTTCACAAAGCTCTTTGAATTTGCTATCTGTTAGTGATTGAGATGACTGGCTCTCATGGAGACGTACTTTTAAATCTGCATGAGCAGCCTGTTCAAATTTTAATTCCTCCTGAAGAGCATTTATAATGTCCTCAGAATTTTTCACCATGGGCTGTTGAGATTGCTCTTGTGGTGTCTCAGTCATGGCAAAATCAACCCAATCCTCCTGACCCCAATCGTTTGTCTCTGGTTTCTCAAGATTCTGTCTTGCAGGTCCAGCATTCACAATTTCCACTTTGTCTGCAGTATTCTTCGATTCTAATAGACCCTCTAGCTCCATAATGCGATTCAATAACCCTGTTCTCTCTCCTTTCTCAGTATTGAGTTGTTCGAGAAGGTCACTGCACTCCTTTTTCATTTGTTTTGTTTCCTCAAGATGGTGGCGTTCTTTCTCTTGAGTATTCATAACAATATTCTCATAAGCATCAGTGGCTTCCTGAAACTTTTTACGCAGTGTTTCTATATCAGCTTCCATGGACGCTATCTGTGAAAGAAGTCTATTTTTTTCCTCAGCCACCTGTGACATTTGTTGTTCATTTATTTCTACATACTGCTCTGTCAGTCGTTGAATTTCTGCATGTGACTCAGTCAATGCTTGATCCTGGTTACTGATTTTTTGTTCCAGACTTATTAAAGTTTCTTCTTTTAAATTTAAGACGTCTCTAGTTTCTTGTAATAAGGCATCAAGTCTCTGTATTTCTAGCTCTTTTTCCTTAATTTCATTTTTTAACTGAATAGTTATTTCCTCATTAGAATCTTTTTCCTTGTCTTCCCTGCTCTCAGCCTCCTTTTCAAAGTCTGCAACTTTTTTCATCAGTTCTTTCCGCTGAATCAGAGCTGCCTGCAGCTTTCTCTTGATGTGTTCTCCATCTTTTTTCATGGCAGCCAATTGAGACGCCAAGTCCTCTTTTTCCTTTAGTAAAGCGACAAACTGCTCACTTTCAGATGTTTGACCATCTATGACTTTCTGCTGGTCATCCTTTATACTCTCAAGTTCATTAATTTGATCTTTTAGCTTTTTAACTTCACTAGATATTGCAAACTTTTCCTCTCCTGCCTGGAGAAGTTTGGCACTCATGCTATCACTGAGTTCCATCATCTCCTGGTCTTTTTGTAAAAGACACTTTTGTAGGTATTCCAACTCAGCAGTCCTGTCCACAAGGGCAGCTTTGGCTGTGTCCGCCTCATGAGAGATTTGCACTAATCTTCCCTCTATGTCTAGGAGTTTCTGTTCCAATTCAGAGAAACTGAGCTCTCTTTCTTCCAGCTGAGCAGCCAGCATTCTGGCTTGACCTTCCTGCTCAACAAGTCTTTGCTGTGCTTCATCAAGTCTTTGCTGGGTTTCATCAAGTCTTTGCTGTGCTTCATCAAAAGCTGCTTGTAAAACTTGCAGCTTATCATCCTTAAACTGAACCTGTTCCTTCAAATTCTGAAACTGCTCAGCGGCACTTTTATCATTTAACTTTTCTTGCTCAACCAACTCCTTAGTTTCAATCAGCTCTTTCTTGTAGATGTTTGCTCTGGCCTCTGCCTCATTTTTGTAAGCAGTAAGTGACTCCAACGCCTCCTCCAGCTGATAGACTTTCTCCTGTGATTGTAAGGCTGAGTCTTTAAACTGTTGAAGCTCACCCAGAATTTCACTATACCTTTTCTGAATCTCTTCAGCCAAGACCTGAGCAAAAGTCTGACCGGTGCTTGGATCTGTATTTAATAGACTTCCCTCCTGTTGGGCAAGATGTACCTGCACAGTTTCATGAATAACTAAAGATGGTGCTTCAATATCAACTATGCAGCTGTTTGGTGCAATCTGCTCTTCACAGGTCTCTTCCCAAGACTGTGTGGATAAGCGCAAAGAGGCAAAGTCCTGAATGTGGGACTGCCATTCTTGAGTCGCATCTTGGTTGACTGCCTCCAGAAGAGTCCAGCTACTATGTGCCACCTCTGAATCACTACTTGTTACCATTTCATCTGAAGAAGTACCCTTTGATTCTCCAGGAGACCCGGGCTGAGGTGGTATAAGCTCTGGGCTACTGTCATTGCCACCAGAGACAGAGAGAACAGAGGCATCTACTGCCACAAGTGTTGTCTCTTCTTCTTGTGAAACCTCAAGAACATCAGAGTTGTCCAACCCAGTAATGTCTCTGCTTATGCTGACTACACTTTCCTCTGGGCTATTCAGAGACTGGCTGGTGGTGAGTGACAGTTTTTCTCTGAGAGCAAAAAGTTCTTCTTCTCTTTCTGCAAGCTGCTGCTCCAGAAACAGTATCCGATCTGTCTTCAATTGATTATCTGATGAATGTCCATCTCCAGTGTTTTCTGAAATAAGCATTTGCAAGGACAAACTGTGAAAATCAAATAACTTAAAATTAAGCATGCAAAATGTACTATGTTTAATCATGAACTTTCTGTTTATGTTGTGAGTTTGGGAACCTGTCTTTCTGGTTATCCTAGCCAATATCTAAACATAACACTGCAAACAATTTAGTTCAAAAACTTTTCTCCAATAAAAAACAAGAAAATTATGGATAAAAATGGAGTTGCTGCGACTCAAAGCAACATTGCAGGTCAAAGTACATTCAGCTACACAAGGACAAACATTACACCTACCCTGGTGTGTCGTGCCCAAATCCCTCACAGACAGGTCAGTCACATGATCCCCCAATGACTCACCAGAAACCTGGGAAAGACAAGCCTCAGAGTTAAAACAAGCATGCCTGCACTAATGTATGGTTATGAAAGTTTCCAAGTACGCTGAACCCCCACAATAACTGCAGTGATTTAAACAGTACACAAAACAATATCCTTGTTAATACATAATTATATTCTTATGTGTAGGGAGCAATAACTGATACAGATGACGAAAGTCGAGGGGATTATATCTGACCTGATAAGTTGTGAAACGTCTAGTCACGATAATGTCACCTTGTGTCTGTTACACCAGACAAAGCTTGTGCTACATACATTCAAATGAGTTTACCAAAACGGACACATTGCCCTAGACATCTATGTCTTTTTCTCTGTACCATCTTGACTGCATTAACAACAATGCATTTTGTTAGGTACAATTTGCATGCTTGATCACTATGAAAAGTAATATTAGCTCTCTGTACATTAGTCTATCATGGCTGAAAAAGCCCAAACTATGCAGGGGTTCATGAAGGCATGATAATCTTGGATAAAAATATCATGGTTTCATGGTTTTGTGATTACTGCTCTAAAATAAGTTTTTTTTTTTTAAATGTCTTGGTAGGACACAACACATTTTTCCCTCACATTTTTTATGTTAAGATTTTTTATAACAGAAAGTTTTTTGCGGTTTTAAAACCTTGACTTTTCCAAACCGCAGTAAACCTTAAAACCGCCTCATGCCAAGCCCAAATATGCAGCGAGTTAAGAAAACGTATGCAAATACAAAAACACTAACAAATTGAGAAAACATGTTCCTCAATTTTACAACACATACATGCAAATTGTATAAACACATGCAAATACAGAAATGTGCTGCAAAATGGGTAGACCGTAACATAATAGTTTTTTTCTATTTGCATATGTTTTCCTAAATTGCTGCATGTTTCAGCTCTCTTGCCCACAGTAAAAATCTGTACAGGTTGAGGCTATAATTAAAGGTACATAGATTTAATACCAAAAACTTCAAATGGATAGTTCACCTAAAAATGAAAATGAGCTCATCATTTACTAGGGGTGTCAAAATTAATTGTTACTTCAATGCATTTTCAAATTTACCTCGATGCGCACAATTCAGTATTAGTTCAGTAATAGATCATAATCGTATATTACATACTGACGTCATTTATCTCATATGTGCTATGTCGTGGTAGAATCCTATGGCAAAGGAATTGAGCGCGAGTAAGTAAAATGCTTCAACTACTTAAAAACAGACAGCTGTGCACAATTCACTGCTTGTGAGTTTGCTGGACAGTCTTACACTGACACTGAAGGTACAGCAGAACCCAGAACCTCTATTTCACTGTTGGGGAGAAAATGAAAGGTGTAAAACTCCATCTCTGTCTCACTTTGGACCTTTGAACTACTGACATGTTTGTACCAACTTTTCCTCTCCTTTCAGCTGTTACAGCTATACTTGTGGATCCGTACATGAGAATGTCTGAAGAGCAAATTTTCTCCACCACGTCACGGCATTATGCGCATAGACTTTAACTTCAGCTGTTCTTCAGTGTCATCGGTGAACATCACTGGCAGTTTTAGAACCAATCGCTGTCCTTTCTATTGAGTGCGTGAACACAATGACCAATCATAGACGTTTAAGAACTCGCTCAGAAAAGCAAGCGGGTAGGGATGGCCAATATATCGGCGGCCATATCGTTATCGGCCGATAAATACTAACTCTAATGTCATCGTTATTTGTCCAATGTCAAAATTAGGCTGATATCTTTAAGCCGATAGGTTATGTAATTGTACTGGACTGCCTGCCTCGCACATGCGTGGGTCGAACTTGTTCAGACTTTTTGCATTGGGGCTTTCCTCACAATGTTTATTCCTTCAAAGTCCATCTTTTCTTTGTGTGGTATTGCTGTGCAATAATATCTCAGTAAGTAACCATGTTCCTGATTATCGTAAATGTGTTTGATAAAGTGTCATTGTGCATTTTGGTTTAAATCGCTTCAGGAAAAATATTACATGTGTAAACATAATAGCAGGGATGCACACCTGCCAAACACCTTGCTGAGTTGTTTGTAATCTAATATAATATTTTTGCTCTGATCAATGCGTTGTTAGACATGTGTTGTTGATGTAAAATTGTATTCCGTTTCATCTGCATATTTATAATGATTATAAAAAGCACACATGATTTCTATTACCATGCACACACACAGTAACTAGTGAGCCGCCAGAGCCTTCACAGCAACCAGGGAGACGTGCGCCAGTCACTGAAGTATAGGGGTTTCTCAACCCTCTGCCACATTCTGTGTTTATATTCTGCACTTTGTTTTTCATAAAGTCACGTGTGCTCAATGCTCAGGTGTATCAAAAACTGACTTGAGGACAAATCTGTGTCCGCTTTGCACATGCGCGCATCAAGCAGAGCCTGCAGTTAAAGTTTTAAACGCACAGCGGTTTATCATAAACAATTTCTTTTAATAAAATATTTTTTCTCGCAATTGACAGCAAGAACAAACAAAAAAACATTGTCTGATTTACAAGCATCACATACATGTGTTCAAAAGAATCTAAAATGCCTAATGGGCCAAATTTATGCTGCATTTTCTAAAGTAAATGATAGAACATGTATTTAGCTTTTTGCTTGTACGGTGGCTCGGAACTGTTAAAAAAAACTTTAAAAATGGTTTTCTGACATTACATATTTGTACATATGGACATTACTGGAACACGTTTTATTAAAGAACATTTGAGCTGCTTTCAGTTCTTTCATTTTCATTTTACTTAAAATATATTTATTTTACTTTGTTATTTAAAGTTCCATTTTGTTATTTAACCAATTATTTCAATACAACAGTAAAGTTGCATGTTAATTTGCTATGCGAAGAAAAGAAAGTAATTTTTTTGGCATGCTGATTTATGTGAAATCATGAGCATAGGTCTATATAATCACCTTGCAATTTTGAAATTATAGTTTTTTTTTGGTTTAAGTAGGCTATTCAGTTCATGAGATTAGTTCAAACTTTTATGAAGTTTTTAAAATAAAATCAGTTGTTCACAGTATAAAAAAAATAACATTTTGAACTATTTATATTTATCAGCTATAGTTTATCGGTTATCTGTCGCCAAATCTTAAAAAATACTGGTTATCGATATCGTCCCAAATATCCATATCGGTGCATTGCTATAAGCGGGAAAATATTTATATTGGTTTGTTCGTTATAAATGCTCATATTAAAAAGTTATAAAACTATAAAAGTTTTCTTCTATGATTGTATTTGAGTTGTTTAAAACGTTCCAAAAGAGCGTTTTCTTTGAGCAGGTCAAATTAAAGGTACAGTTCATATATCTAAATTATTTTATTAAAGGACGAAATTGTACTACAAGTAATAAAAAAACAGATTTACATTTTAATACAATTTTTTTTCTTGTTTTTTGAAGAAAAATATATAATTGTGTATGGAAAGCAACGTCAATGCACTGTGATATCGAGCTGAACTGAAACGATGGTATGATAATTGTAACCGTACCGTCGGACCAGTGTAGGTTCACAACCCTAGTCATTACTCTCCCTTATGTGAGTTTAAACATTTATGAGTGTCTTTCATCTAGACAAAATAAGATATTTTAAACAATGAAGCTTGAAGGCACCAGCCAATTTGAGTGCTATTAACCAGATTTCTTCAAAATATCTTCTTTTCTTTTTCAAAAGAAGAAAAAAATGAAATGGGTTTATACTCGTGGAAGAATTGTTATTCGTGGACGAACTATCCCCTTGTTCATCTGTACAACATCTAACACACAAATTTAAACAAAAGCAAAAGTTAAGTTTAACTTAAAACCTAAATAATTGCATTGAAAGAACGTCTCAAAAACAAAAAAGCAGAACAAATGTTTATCAGTGTTGTCTTTAGTATTTCAGAAAGCAATGTTTTAAACTCTGCATTATATTTTTTGCTATCCACCTACCTGAACAGTCAGAAGTTGTTGGTCCAGTTCTTGTATCCTAGCAACTGCTTCCTCTCTCTCAGCTGTGCTTTTATCCAGTTGACCTGCAGCATCAGGTGCATTAAGACATAATTACTTTTTGATCACTCTACAAAATATATGCTCTATTTGTTGTGGCTTTGTTGATAAACCGCTTCCAAGGACAGTTTACTTAGACAACAAAATCTCTTTGAACTCTTTTCTGCTGGGCTGTTTACCTTGCAGAGACTGAAGAGTGATTGTGATCTGGGACAGGCGTGCTTGACTCTCTTGCTGTTCATCTGTAAGTTTGCTCAGCCGAGTTTGTAGAGCAGGTAACACCTCTAAGAGCTGTGCAGGGTCAGTAGGAACTGATATTTCTACCTCTGCATCCCCAGAAGCTGTCAACGATTGGATACCTTTCCAAAGTTTTTCCAGTGCATTCTTGGCTTGCAGTCCTGCTTTTTGCTCTTCTTTACTGGCATCTAATATCTCTCTCAAGGACTCAAGCTCATTTTGCACCTGTGCAAAGCGATCTTTTTCACTCTTAGATTCTTCTTCTCTTGATCTTTCCACCTCATCAAGGTTTTCCTGAAGATGATGAAGCTTTTCCATGTGACTTGTTGCTTCCATCTCAAGCTGCTTTGTCATTTCCTCTTTCTGTTTCTCTGCAACTTCCAGACAGGCTTGCAGGTTGGTGAGCTCTCTCTCAAAGCTTGTTTGTCTCTCATGTAATCTCTCCGCCCATTCTTTCTCTTCAGCTTTAAGTTTCTCCATCAAATCATCAAATTCTGTGGTCTTTTTCTGTACCTCTGCTTTAAGAGCGCTGATGGTCTGCTCTTTTTCACTTTCTGATGTGTCTAATCTAGCCTCTAGAGATGATTTTAGGTTGGATAGCTCTACCTCAAAACTGGTTTCCTTTTCTTTAAATTTCTCAAGCAATTGGTCTCTCTCTCTTTCTTTATATTCAAGTTTTGCTCTCATTTCATCAAACTCGACTGTTTTTGTTTGCTTTTCACATTCTTCACATTTAAGTTTTTCTCTCATTTCATCCAGTTCTGTGATTTTTATTTGTAATTCTGCATTGAGAGCACTGATGTTCTGCTCGTTTTCACTTACTGATGTTTCTAATCTATCTTCTAGAGACGCTTTTACATTAGCTAGCTCTACATTAAAGCTAGTTTCTCTCTCTTTAAACTTCTCAAGCAATTGGTCTCTCTCTCTTTCATCAAATTCAAGTTTTTCTCTCATTTCATCCAACTCGACTGCTTTTGTTTGCTTTTCACATTCTTCAAATTTAAGCTTTGCTCTCATTTCATCCAGTTCTGTGATCTTTATTTGTAATTCTGCATTGAGAGCACTGATGATCTGCTCTTTTTCACTATCTGATGTTTCTAACCTGGCTTCTAGAGATGCTTTTATGTTAGCCTGTTCAGCCTCAAAGCTAATCTCTCTCTCTTTAAACTTCTCAAGCATATCATTTTTCTCTCGTTCTTCAGATTCAAGCTTCATTCTCATTTCATCTAGCTCTGCCATTTTTGTTTGTAATTCAACTCTTAATTCACCGATAGTCTGTTTATTTTCACTTTCCGTTTCTAATCTAGCTTCTAGAGATGCTTTCATGTTGGCAAGTTCTGCTTCAAAGTTAGTCTCTTTTTCTTTTAACTTCTCCAGTATTTCTTCCTTCTCTCTTTGCTCAGATTGTAGATGTGCACTCATTTCATCCAACTCTGCTGTCTTTTTTAGTAACTCAGCATTGAGACTGGTGATGTTGATGTTGAGAACATTGATGGTCTGCTCTCTTTCACTTTCTGATGTCTCCATTCTGGCTTCTAGACATACTATCATGTTGGCCAGCTCTGCCTCAAAGCCAGTCTCTCGTTCTTTTAATCTCTCCAGCATTTCTTTTTTCTCCTTTTCTTCAGATTCAAATTTTGCTCTCATTTCATCCATCTCTTTGGTCTTTTTCAGCAATTCAGCATTGAGAGAACTGATGGTGTGGTCTCGTTCACTCTCTGAAATCTCTAGTTTGATTCGAAGAGCCTGCAGTTCTTCCTCAGCTCTCTTCTCCTCTTCCCTCAGTCTTTGGGCTTCTGCCAACTCCAGCTCCATCTGCCTGAACTGAGTAGTCAGAATCTGTACAAATGAAACATTCATCATGTTCATTATCTTGCTAAAAGGTCTATAACTCAACGCAACACTAGACTTTTTATAACATATTATGAAAGGAAATATAATAATTCTGAATGAAATGGCTCTTTCATCTCAGATTTCAGTCTAACCAGCTGTGGCCGCAGCATGCAACAAGAAATTCAGATTCTATTTTTAATCACGCTGCTCACTGTCCCCACCCACAGTGAAATCTGACTAGTTAAAAAATCAACACATAAGGAATGTTCCCATCCAAAGATGTGAATTTAACTTATGTGCAAAACTAGAATATTGCATAAAACATTTGCGAACAAAGTTTCCATCCAATGAATCAAGAAAGTCTATTCCTTATAAACTGGCACCAAATACCAAAAAGAAAAATAGAATTTGCTATGATAGGAAAAGCTAATGTGGGAATCTTTTCTTAAATAATAAATTACTTGCACCTCAGAAAACGAAGAAAAAACAAAGAATGTCCAGTGGCTTTCAGTGGCTCTTTGTGAGCACAAATGGTTCTAAGATGCAATAAAACCAAGCCTAATTGATGGCAGAATTGTCACTTTAGAATGACCAAAACAACATTTTCCAATGTTTTTACAATGTGATTGGGCTATTGGTTTCCATTTTGGTTTAGCAATTTTTTTCTTTTTATGTGCATTTTAAAAATTTGTCTTTGCATTTTTATTAAAGCCTCCAAGAAATCAAAACTAACAATATGATTTTGTTAGCTCACATTGATAGTTTTGTGGTTAATAATTTATCTGTGCATGTCATCAAGAAAAAAAATTGTTTGCCCTTCTAATCTTTAATTGAAATCTCAAAGTCCATTTCCTGTTTGTTTTCAGTTATTACGTTTTCAGATTATGTGATTTTGAGGTAATGGGTATGGCTAACGCTGTTCCAACTCTCAGTTTAGACAACAAACAGAAATGATGAGCAGGAGTCTGCTATGGTAGGTTGTAATAACTCTTCTGAAACCCCTTTCCCCATCTTTCTGAATGAAATGCCTCCTTTACGTCCATTCAGCCAGCAGTAAAAAAAAAAAATAATAAATAAAAAAAAAAAATCAAGCCTCACCCATTCTCATTTAATATCCCATTTCTCTAGGAACTGCGTCACAATACTAAAAGAATAACGATCGCAGCTTGTGATTCGTGGGGACTTTAAGTATTTTTCAATGCGATATTCCAAATGCAGTGTTGGAGGTAATGCATTACAAGTAATGCGAGTTACGTATTAATATTACTATTCTGAGTAACAAGTAACGCATTACTTTTCAAAATTAAGCAATAATATTTGAGTTACCTTTAAAAAAAAAATTAACTCAAGTTACTTTTCAGATTATTAATTCACTTTTGAAAAATAAATTGCTGTATTAAAACAATCATAGTCACTTTGAATCCCACACGCTATGAGAGGATGCAGGAGCAAACAGTAATAAAGACGACAGAGCCTTACATTAATGCGATGTAAAATTCTCATTATTTTGAACACATGAAAGAAAAGGAAAAGAGGATTATCTGAATGGACAGTGATTTTACTTTTAACTAAGACAAAAAATACAAAAGTAGTAAATGCATTGCTTTAAACATTCAATAATATATATAAATACGACATGTAGAGCTCTGGGGTCAGGAAGTTCTCAGAAGATAACATTATTCTACATTAACATTTTAATGTGTTTTTTAAAGGTAAATTATGGTTATAAAATGCATTGTTAATTGCAGAGTTCCTTTATTTAAAAAAGAAGAAGAAAACACCTGAATGTTCTAAAAGAGATCAAGCCTCAGTCGGGTCAGAAAAATGAACAGTAACTCAAATGTAATGTAATGCATTTCCTACCATAAAAAGTAACTAACACAACTAGTTACTTTTTTGGAGAGTAACTCAATATTGTATTGCATAAACCAACACTAGTTAAAAGCACACATCTACTGCTTTCAATAATGACAGAAAAAAAAACGAAAAAAAAAAAAAAAAAAAACTGCTACGCTGACCTGTTTCTGCTGGTCTGCACTGTTGACTTCCTGCTGCAACATTTCTAAGACTTCTGAACGAGAACGCAAGGACTCCTCCAACTCCTCTATTCGCCGCTGGGAAGCACGAAGAGCCTGTAAAACAACAGGACGGATTAAACTAAGACAGAACTGGAAGTATAGACAAACATTACAAATAAGTTGCAGTGTTATTTTTTAAAGATTAAGTAATAAGAATTCCTGGACAACAACATGAACAGAACAAAAGAGTTGGATGCAGCTCTCTGAAAGTGGAAATCGATGCACTCTTAAATTAGACAGCTAGCTCAGACCAAAATTGCCATGGTAACATGATGAGCTTAGCTATGAATTTATGCTTTATAACAACACACAATTAAGTCTACAACACGTCTGTGTAATCCAAAACAAAAACCCAACAAATAGCATTGACGTTTTTCCCTATCTTTTTATTTTTGAGATGCATAATCACTCAATGGTATTAAGTACTTAATGATCAAAGAAACCACTTAACCTTTTGACAAACACTATAGGACAGGTTTAACGCTTTATCATACAGTTCCACAAACAAAGTCCTTTACAAGAGACTAAAAGAGACCATTCATCTTTTTCTCTTTCAACAAATCATGAGTGAAAATGCTTAAGCTCTAGTTCAACAACCTCCAGAGTTCTCAGTAAATATTCATTCCATTCATTTAAATCTTAAGCATACTTACAATGTAACCAAAACATGGGGCTTGTCTGTATGAAAGATGTAACAAGGGCTGGGCGATATGGCGTTTTTAAAAAGTCCCCGACTTTTTACAAATATAGGTTCATGAATTAAATCGTGCTTGGAGTTAAGGGTTAATAACCTATATGACAACTATAATCAATTATATGACATAAAAATGCTTAAGAAAAAAAGTTGTCGTTTAAAGATCAAATTTAACACTAAATCTATATATAATTACATACTTGCAAGATGTTTATAATAATATAAATTAAACCCTTTTAAACAAATACAGTGAATGTTAACTGATAATAATTGTTTAAAAGGGGACCTTTTTCAAAATGATTTATTTTATTTATTTTTTTAATGAACATACATTCAAAGGTTTATTCGTTTTTATTTGTCTCATATCAGCTTAAATAAATAATTTTGGGAAGCACATTAGGCTAGTGGCTTGCATTATTTGTGCCGGAACATTGCATCTCATGGATAAGTCTAGTGGACTGAGCGAGTTTTGCCAGTGTTAATATTATTGTAATCTCAAGTAATTTATCTGAAATAATTAACATTGGATTCCAACAGCAGATCGGTAATCTTTTATATACACATTTTCTCCATTAATTGTCTTATCTATTACTTCTTATCATAAGAAAGGTTTGGCATGCAGTTTCAAATGCATATCTGACTGTGAATGCATGACTGAGAGCCCTGAATTATGCCGTTTCTTTTGGCAGGCAAGTTTGTGTCTGTGTTTATTTTTTCATTTAAAAGCACATTTCCTCACTGCTCCCTGCCATGTTGTTTGTATGTTTCTATGGCAAATATGAGGGCAACTACAGGAACCGAGAGGGGAGTGTCACATGTTAGGGTGAAAACCGATTTTCATTCAAACATTTCAATTTGAACTTCATATTCGAGTTAATTGATAAAATCGATTTATTGCTCAGCCCTAATTTGTACCATTGAAAATATTATAAATTTAATAAAAAATTCTTTTTCTATAATCATAAAAATGACACAAACGTTGGTATCATAATTGAATTCTTAATTGAATGCTTAAGCTTGATGAGTGCATTTACACAATTTTCACTTGTTTTCATCACAGGCTACAAAGGTCAAATAAGAGTTTTGTTCAAATCGAGCCAAATAACAAGAAAAATGTAAATAATATTTCTTTAGTAATGCTAATTTTAGTCATTACACAGAGCATACCGTAATGTTCTATTAAGCTTATCTAATAGCTCTCGATACAAAAACTGGTCCCACTTTATATTAAGTGTCCTTAGCTACTATGTACTTACATCAAAAAATAAATACAATGTACTTACTGTGTTTATAATGTATTTGAGAACACTTGTGCTGCATTTGAGTTGGGATAAAGTGTTGGGTTATAGACAGGTTTGGTGGCATGGGTAGGTTTAAGGGTGGGTTAAGGTGTAAGGGGTGGTCAACAGTGTATTTACACATGTAATTACAAAAGTTAATTACAGATGTAATTACATACATGTATTTAATCAAGCATAAGTATACAATAAATACATGTATTTACACAATAAGTACATTGTAACAAACTATTAATTCCTGTGTAAGTACATATTAGTTAAGGCCACTTAATATAAAGTGGGACCCAAAAAAATATTTTGTGCCTGCAATCCTCTAATAAGCATGAGCCCATTAACTAAAGTGGAGCTTGTTTAAGAAAAGTGTCAAAACACAAGAAATACCTGCTGCAAGTCAGCATCATTTGTGGCTTGTGAAAGACTAAGGAGTTCCTGCTCATGTTTGAGGATTTGTTCTTGAAATCGAACATCTTTTTCCTTCACCACAGCTTGCAAGATTCGCACCTGTATGACATTTGGGGGAAAAAAGACAGAAGTAAAATATAGTCCTTCAGAAAGAAGGAAATAAAACGGTACCTGCAAAAAAACTGACTTCTTACGCCTCATTCACACTCCCGAGTGACTCGCAGCGGCAAAGCAACAAGCGACCATACATTTTAACGGAAAGTGAGCGATTTCCGCTCACCTCTGTCTACATGAGTGACAGCGACTGTTGGCGACCAGGTAAGTGTGTCAACAAACGCAACAAAATTGAGAATCCTTCAACTATGCAAATGAAGAGCTTCTTTCTTGAGCGACAGCCAATAGGAACACTAGTAGAGCTTACATGATCTTCTCTCAGCTCGCTCAGAGGCCAGTTGTATTCTCTGTGCTGTAGACCTGCACAGACCTGCTTTTGCAGCAGATTGCCACCCATTGCAACAAACAGCTACAAAGTCGCTGCTAGTGTGAATGAGGCATTAGATCTTAAATGAAAAAGCTGCTTGAATAAAACATTTGATGGGTGAAAGTGAAACGCACCTGTTCTGCATGACCCTCCTCTCTCACACGCTGCTCAGCTTCCCAGAGCTGCTGCTGGAGCATCTTATTGGCCAACTCTGCCTGACTAAGCTTTTCCTTCAGCTGCTGGAGCTCCTCCTCCACACCTGGAGCCATTTGGAAAGAGCTCTCTGAATTCTGAAAAACATTTCATCATTATATTGCTGTGTGGAAAACTTTAATGAATATGGCAAACACCAGTTCTCATCTGTCAAAGCACAAGCATACTAAAACAAACTGTCACAGTAAGTAATAAACATTTTCTGCATGCAACATGAATATAAACTAATATGAATGAGTTGATTTCTCTTTACCTGACTGCTGTTTAACACGTCTTGTCCTTTCAGCTCAGTGATCTGTTTGTTTAAGGAGGCCATCTTGGCCTTCGCCTGCATTTTAAGCTTTGTAAACTTGATTTCTGCCTGCTCTTTCTCCTCCTGTATAAGGGCAAAAGCAGTTTCAAATACAAAGCCAAGATTTAGACTTAATCATATTTACAGTCTATAATATTTCATAGTTCCACTTGTCATTGTGCAAACCCACACCTTGAGCTGTTTTTCAGTGCTGGCGAGCTGGCTGTCTTTCTCTCGAATCAGCTCCTTTAGCTGAACCACCAGCTGCTCAGTCTGGGCAAGCCTCTCCAGTACCTCTTCTGAGGGTCCCGGGTCCTCTTGGGATAATTCGGCGGCAGCAGCAGCAGGCTGTGGCACCATACCATCCTGGTCCCAAAACAACATTTAGAACATACAGAGGGCTCTCTAGATAGAATCACTCCATCCTAACCATATATTAGAAAAGTAAAATATTAAAAAAGGCATGAAAATGTGTGTAAACGCATGTTAAAGGTATTTTACAGAATAATCCATTTAAGAGTTGCACGCAGCTTTCTAAATGTGAAAATGTAAGCTGTGCAAAACTAGCTCAGCTCAAAACTGCCATGACAACATGATGAATTTTTGCTTTAGAAGAACGACACTCATCTGCAGATGGTGCAAAAAGCTGCTGCTCATCTTGTAACTGGTAACCATGACGTAAATATCAGCATATTTACCCTGTTCTAGCTTCACTTCACTGAATGCCTCTACATTTTATGATCCAATTGAACATTCTTTTATTTGTTTTTAAATCAATCACTGGTCTTTATCCACTGCATACTTTTTTATTTTTTTATTTTTTTTTTTTTAAGGCCAGCTGATCAGTTGCTCCAAATGATCAGCTGAAGCAACTGATCAGCTGCCCTTAAAAAAAAAAAAGTTTTAACTCAAAAGGGAGTGTCTACGTGTAGCAGCTGCTAAATTGTGGAATGCTTTGGCTCAGTTTATTAGACAGGCCTGTTCATCTTACAACACATCATTTATCTTGACACCTGTTGACATTTTCCATATTTATTTGAATGTTTCATGGTGTCTTAACCATTTTTAAATTTATTCTATGTCCTCACGTACAGCACTTATTTTTTGTGTGTGTTTTTAAATTGCTTTATTAATAAAGGCTGTTTGATTTATTGATTGAACAAACAAATATAAATAAAATAACTCCAAATAGATTTTACTTTTTTTGGAAAGACAATGTGCATTTTTGTAAATGTCCATGATTAATAATTGTCAAAACCTGAACTTTTGTTGAAATTACAGACTTTCTGTCTTATGTAAGCAAAATTTTCCAGATAGTTTGTTTAAACAATGTTAAAATATTACTGTAAAGTTGCTTTAATTTTTGTGACTGCATTATATTTATTTCAAAATTGAATCTCCTACTGAAGAACAGAGCCAACATGCCAGCCTACATTTCGGTAAGGTTTATGTGACAATACATCTGTGTGTACTTTAATCATGACTTTAAAAACAAACTGTTAAATAAACACTGCTCCTTATTGTTCATTTATACCTCTTTGGTTATTAGCAGTGATTGCTACACTTATTAATGTGCAGATTTTTTTGCAATTAATTTTGCATAACAAAATAGTGTGACCTCTTGTATTAAAAGAATTTGAAAACAGTATTAGAGCAATAAAGTTGCAAAGACTGCATTGTTACATTTTGTGAGTATTCTATGATTAACTGATTTTTAAAGATGCCACAGAGAGCGACATCATCATAAAACATTTAAGCATTTATAGAAATTTGACGACAGATGATGAAAGATGATGTAAAATAATTAATAAATGTAGAAGTATAGAAGTTAGAGTAAATAGTATAATAGCATGTCGTATGAATAAATATCTATAATTATTTTTAAAAATGTAAACGTCCATTGTGTTTTCTGTGAAATTTCTTGGTATTTACACAAAATCGGGCAATGTTTTAGTGGAATTTAAATAAATAAATTAATTAAAAACATCAAGCTTTGGTCTACTCACCTGGAAGTCTCCATCAGAGCGTTCTTCACCTGAGAGCTCGTGTAGAACCGAGGACACCCCTTGGGTCAGCCGGCTAAACATGGCTGACCTGCAAGAAAATAAAGAAATGAAATTAAAGGTTTAAGCATTTTAATACTGTTAACTGAATGCATTACTGAGACTGCATGTAAATTATGCACAATATTGTCATTTTACTGCGATAAATTTTGCGATATGAATATAATTTTACCAGATGATTTGATTATCTTTATTTGAGAAGATTTTATTAACTTAAATTGACTAAGATGATCAACACTTTTTCTGTGCAGTGCATCTGCAAAAAGTATAATAAATTACAATCATTAATAAATAAATAAACAGTGCTTTATGATTTTCTGGGGGGTCTGACAGTATTCAATTGAACAATCAAACGTAAAATAACATGATCTTCATTGCATAAATAAAAACAATGTAAAATGTAACAATATTATTATCTTTTAATCTTTAATAATCTAATCGTGCGATGTGACAAATATAGCGATATCGATTGCTTAAACGATATATTGTTCAGTCCCAATGTAAATACATGAAAAAAAGATTAAAGCACTTTTATGGTCTTTACTGAATGCATTACTGAAACATTCTTTATAACAATATTAACCCACAGCCTCTTTAAACTGTACTGTGGTAATAATAACCCGAAGATTATTGATGCATGTGCAAACACACATGAACAGACTCTACTGCGATAACAATGTTTTGTACCGGTTTAGTTGAGACAACCGGAATTAGCTCAAGTAACGATTTTACAACAATTTTGCCTCTGTTGAAAACACCTTTAAGATGATACCACTATAAAAGTAAATGCTAGCTTTTTATTGTGCAGATCATTCTATGGTTAGAAGACATGGGTATTACATGTTTCTTTGAGTGTATATGTTTTACTGAAAACTGAACAGACAATTTCAGTTTGATAGAACTTCTATGTTAAGTGGCTTTGACACAATCTGCATTGTAAGCGATATAAATCAACATGAATTAAACTAAACTTGCATTCTATGAATCATCAAAAACAGTTTCCACTAAATATATTTCAAATATACTACTGAAGAATATAATCATAATGAGGAGTTAAATAACAGCACATTTTCGTTTTGGGTGAACTGTCCCTTTAAATCAACAGTTATAGCCTTTTATAATACCTTTATAACAATAATTTGAGTTGTAAGGAAAAAAAACTATGAATGCATATTTTTATTTATTCAACATTCACATTAAATGTCCAAAACACCTTTAAAATCTTCAGCAATCCCTACTAAATTGAATGCATATAGTTCATGAAGTGAAAAATCTTAACGTTACATCTAACGTTAAGTATGCCTACGTATTTCTTAAAACGTGCTGCATTCGTAATCGATTTGACATGGGATACAGACAGTAAACACATCATGAGCAACTCTAAGTTAAATACATAATTAGCATACTTGCTGATCTTGATCCGAATACTTAATGGTTGCGTAATTTGGGTCCCTGTACTGAAGCAGACTTAACAAGAATTTTTTTTCTGAGCTTCCTTGTAATGCATAATCTCAACTGGCAGAGCCATTAATCGGAGAAAAACGAACAAAACCGAACCACGCCGAAAAGTCTATCTGACGACTGCGGCTGCGTCGCTTTCATTTTGTCTACACAACAGCAAAGATTATTGAGCGACTCTTCTTCCTTCTGTATTCAAATCGACTTATATCACTACAAATGATGGAGAAACATTAAGGTATGACTTTTATTACTTATAAAGGCTGCAAAACGGCGTATTTAAAGCCCTATGAATGGCAGTGTTGAGCGCGAGCTGTAAGTGGGCTCGTGCTGACGACTCGTAAACAACTGTAGCCATATTTACAAATGTACTTGCGGTTGTGCATGTCAGCGGCTGAATGCATTTAGAGACAGCTTGTTAAAGTTAAAACGCAGGAAATGTACCTGTTTAATCGGCGCCGGGAAGAACTGCGTGGTTTATTTGATCAATTTCGTCTCCAGGATTCCAGAGCCACATCACCAAACATCCCGGAAACAGAAACGCAGCGCTGCGATTGGACCGCACAAGGAAGCGTCTGAAAACTGCAAGAGACAGTTTGAGCTGCATTACTGTACACCAAGGCACCATCAACAAGTAAAAAAACGTATAATCATGGTTGTTTGGAGGAGATAATAGAAACCAAAAACATTCTCATTTTCAGGTTTGGAATTGCATAATGGTTCGAAACACAATGGGACGACATGAATTAAAGGTGAATGCGATTATTAATTATGGAAAACAGCTTGGACGAAGTCTGCTTCTATTGGCACACTACACCACTGTGTTTATAAGCTTCATATCTCGCTCTGTGAACGGTTTTGTGGAAGTGATCAAATGGACAACGATGTTTGCAAGATACACAGTAGTGGTGTTTGAATCCATTCATAGGAGGCTCAGCTGGTGGACCAGAAGACGCATTAGGACATCCATAGAGACGATCTCCAGCAGCGACACAGAGTCAGAATGATGAGCAATTCAACATGGATTCAAAGTTTAACTTTCATTTAGTATCCATTAACTCAAACCTCAAGTGATTCCAAGTCTGTTTTCTGTTGAACACTGTTGAGGTGAGTAAATGGTGATATCAATTTATTTTTATTATTCATTTATATTTTAAAACACACAAAGAGAACAATAGGCCTACATGCAAAATTTTGTATTAGAATGTTGCAGTCTGAAGTTTTGGATCATTACAATGAGCTTATTGTAAGCCCTGAGGTCTAGACGATATGGTAAAGTCCGCCACTGTGTCAGAACCACACCTGATAGACTAAAGACTGAACACAACACCTGTTTTTCAGGTCCATAACCAGTATTTGACTGGGAGGAAACAAAGCAGACAACTTCAATAAATATATCTAATTTCATTTTACCTAAGAGTTTATCCTAAGCTGTTGCTTTTTGCCCTTGGTAAATATTTTTAAATCATTACATTTCCATTGAATGCAATCTAGCTGTCATGAACAGTCAAATCATTATTTTTAGCAGTTATTTATATTTTACAAGTTTTATTTAACATATGTGGGGAATATGTGGTTGTATTACATATGTCCTGCAAAAAACTGGGCATTTGAATAATCAGTAAAAAAAAAATAAATAAATAATAATAAGCAAGTCTGTGTAGATAGGTGTATTATTTTTGTGGAATAACCTGAATAAATCCAGCTTTAATATGAGATGATTTAATAGATTTCACATAAGTCAGTTTAATTTACATTTCGCATGTGTGAGCAATGTTTTTAAATCAGATTCTATAATTTTTTTTAAAAAAGTTTTCATAATTTTACATTTGTTATCATTATTATTAGTAGTAGTAGTAGTAGTATTAGTAGTACTGCTTAAACTAAACCAACATATAAGAATCATCCTGTGGCAACTGACTGAATGAGGGACCTATTTTATTTTATTTTTTAAGTTATTGCATTCCCATTTGCAAACTTAAAAAAACCAATAACATAATATAATAAATAAAATTAAGATTAGATAGATTAATTAAGTAATTACTGTAGTTGTTTTTAAAAGGTAAATGTCAGTCAGCTGTTGTTCATTTTAGCAGCTGATTTAATTTTTTCGAAATGTAATGACAAGGTAATACACATTTAGGTGATGTAAAAGTATAGGAAATATGTTGCTAGATTTATGATGGTTAGCAACTTTGGAAACGCACCATTTCAGTCTGGACTGTTGTCTAGTATTTTCTAATAGGCAGATGTGACTTTATGTGCCAGTATACCACATATTAGGCAGTCAAATTTGGAATATTTATTATTACATTAAAGATCCTCCTGACTGTTAAAAGTGTTGAAGTTTCCCTGTAATGAAACTCTCTGGAATTATGAAGTATGTGTTTAAAATCAGTATTAATCTTTATGCCTCAAGATAATAACACTGTGTTCTGAGAACAAACCACTGTCTTGTTCACATTTCTAAAAACTTTTTAAAAAAGTGTAAATATAGCAAGTATAGCAGGTGTTACCACTGTCTGAGCTTGAGAATGAATGCACACGCTGTAAAAACGTGTTGTTGCCTTAATTAAATTCTTTTCATTAAGAATTTCAGTAATTTACAGTAATTCTTTTAAGTTTAAACCTGTATTTGTCTGTATTGTCTGACTTTTTGATCATATTTACTGTGGAGTATTTTGGATCTTTGAAGTATTTTAAATGCTTAATTTCTTGTGAGATATTATCAAACTTTGTTCATTTATTGTTCATTTCAAATGACAGACTGTGTTACTGTTTTACACAACCTGACAGAAGTATTGTCAATGATCCCAGTGGTAAGAGCAACAAATAATAACTTGACTTCTAGTTGATCATTTGGAAAAGTGGTAGAAGGTAGATTTGTCCAATTAATTATCTGTTGAACTTCATCCCAATCATCACAAAAACTGCAGTAGACCTATTGGAACCCGAATGGACCCAAGATTCTCACAGAAGTCAGTCAAGTTTGGTAAAGGAAAAACCATGGTTAAGGGTTACATTCAGTATGGGGGTGTGCGAGAGATTTGCAGAGTGGATGGCAAATTCAACACTTGTGCTGCCCATTACATTACAAACCACAGGAAAGGGATAGCGCTGCTCCTCATACTTCAGCCTCCACATCAAAGTTCCTAAAAGCAAAGAAGGTCACGGTGTTTCAGGATTGGCCACCCCATAATTGAGAATGTCTGGGCTAATATGAAGGAGGAGACATTAAGAATGAATCCAAAGAATGTTGACAAACTTTGGGAGTCCTGCAAGAACGCTTTCTTTGCCATTCCAGATGATTTTATTAATAAGTTATTTGAGTCATCCAAGCTTATGGGAGTTATACAAAATATTAATTATTTTTCCACTGCACCATGACTTTTTATTCTATACTGTACATTATTTCTGTTAAGTAACAAGACTTTTTGTCTAAGCAAAGTAAGGCCTTACTGTCCTAATTAAATAATAAAAAAAGCCAGAATGATAATATTTTATTTTGGTAAAATAAGCCACTTCTGATACCAAATGATTATCTAGAAGTCAAGTTATTATCTGTTGTTCCTAAAACTTGGATAGGTGACAAGACTTTTGTCAGGTAGTGTAGAGTTGAAAAACTATGAGGTAGCACTTTATTTTACAGTCCTGATTTGAACATTTATACTATGTATTTATCAAAGCTAGCACATAAATGAGATAATAACAAGGTAGGTACACTGTGGAAAAGCCATTAGTTAACTTTAAAAAAAAAAAGTGAATAAAATCATTGCTTCAAAAGCGATTAGTTGACTTTACTTAAAAGGAGAGTAAACCCATTGCCTTTAAATTAAGTAAATTAACTATGTGCATAACTATTAAAAATAACTTAAGTTTACTTATGTACTTTTTAAAGTAAGGTCAACTTGCCACTTTTAAAGCAACAGGTTTTTACTTTGTTAAATTTTATTCAAGTAACAAATTTTTTTTTACAGTGTAGACTCCATAAAGATACCCCTGAACCTAAACTTAACTCATACAGAAACCGTATATATAACCAGTACTGAAGTTCATGTTAAGAACTGTAAAATAAATTGCAGCCATGTATGATTTTGAATTGTTGAACTATTAATATTGTTGATTATTTACTGAACAATGTAATGAATGTGCTGTGTCTTAAGATGACAATCAAATGCCAGCAAACTGAATTTTTTAGTTTCATTTAAGATTCATTGTACTTTCTCTATATACTTTATTGTTATCTTTAAAAATGCATCTGTAATCATTAGCAAGACTGCGGAAATCTAAAAGTAATTATTGTAAAGGCTGTCACTTCAAAAAAAAAAAAAAAAAACTTGTTAACATGAATGTTCTGTATGATGCATATGATGACGGCTGCAACTTACTAACATGTGACTATCAAAATAAACTTGGAAACGCTTTGTCTGTTGCTCACTTGTGAAGAAATGCTGATGAACGCAGTTGTATCTGTTCACGGGCCATCACATGAGAATGTCTGTCAGCATTGTCCCAAATCTCACATGCAATTACCAATGGCATGGTCATCCTTAAGCCTCACATTCACAGTGAGCTGGATTAGTGGGCGTTAATATCAATAAGATGAAGCTGGCGGGGGGCGTGTCTGGTTCCAAGCTGGTACAAAAACCCCCTGAGGGTCCCACGTCTCTCTCAGGTCCCAGTGTGGAGTGTCTGTGAGAAGCGAATCTCTCGCCTGCACAGCAGACCAGTTGGGCTTCCTGACCTTAAGATCTCCAAAACAATGGGCAATTCAACGGGCAGCACCGTGGACGACCTGCAGGCAGTGGAGATGCATCTGTGGTATAAGAAGTTCATGACAGAGTGTCCATCCGGTCAGCTCACGCTGCATGAGTTTAAGCAGTTCTTCGGGCTCAGGGGTCTGGATCCAGAAGCCAATGCCTACATCGAGCAGATGTTTCGCACCTTTGACATGAACAAGGTGAGTGAAGGATGGGATGTGCTGGAGCTCATGATTGTTTAAAGAAGGCGGTAACAGCTGATGCCTTTCGAAGAGTTTGGAGATGGTGGTGGTTTTTAAAAGAGAATTTCAGCTCAGCTACAGTGTTTGAAGTTTCATTTTTTATTAAAACTCCTAGTTTAAGTATTATTACTTTCTATTACATCAGACTTTAAGCAGTTTTTTATTCATGTCACATTGATTTACAGTTGAAGGCAACTTTATTTGTCTCTCTGAGAAAATTGTATTCCGTTTCAAATAATTTCCAATTTTCAACAAAGCAGGGATATTTTTGCTGCATTTCCTACAGTATATAAATACATATTTTCATATATTCACTACAGAACAAACCACTGCTGTTCAATGACTTGCCAAATTAACCTAACTTTACTAGTTCATATAATAAACCCAATAAAACCTCAACATTGCACTTTAACCTAAATACTTAAAAGGAAATTAATTATTTAAACTGTTGTTTAAAAATATGTTTGAAAAAAATCCTGTTAAACAGCACTTGGTTAATAGTTGAAAATGGATAAATAGAGGCATCAGGGTGGCGAAGTGGGTAGCACAATCGCCTCACAGCAAGGTCGCTGGTTCAAGCCCCGGCTGGGTCAATTGGCATTTCTGTGTGGAGTTTGCATGTTCTCCCTGTGTTCACATGGGTTTTTTTTTCTGGGTGCTTCTGTTTCTCCCACAGTTCAAAGGCATGCGCCAAGCTAAATTGGCCATAGTGTATGTGTGTGAATGTATGTGTGTGAATGCAAGAGTTTATTGGTGTTTCTCAGTGTTGGGTTGCGGCTGAAAGGGCATCCGCTGTGTAAAACATATGCTGGATAAGTTGGTGGTTCATTCCACTGTGGCGACCCCTGATTAATAAAGGGACTAAGCCGAAAAAGAAAATTAATTAATGGATAAACAGAAATTTTGATAATGAGGAATTTTGATACATTATTCAACCACCTTTGATCCAAAAAGCTGTGGATAATAGTTGGATTTCTGATACATTCTGGTATATATAAATACACAGTAAAATATATTACTGCCTTTAAATTTTTATTGAATTAAATTAACTTTCTAGTCACCACAACTTACACTGAGACTAAAAATATTAAATTACTTTGTATAATTCAGAAATACATTTGTTTCATGACTTTTGGTAATTTTTTTAAAACTGTGCATATACAAATGTTTCTACTTTGATAAAAAAAAAACAATCCAGTTTCTGGATTTGAGTAAAATGTTAAATATTTTTTAAAATTTGTAAGCATTTTTGGCAGATTAACAGATGTTTTCCGTTGTGTGTTTAAAAAATCAGTTATACCATGAAATATTGGTTCCTAAATTCTTTTGAAGTTAAAACATGGGTTTTATGGTGACTAAAATGAACAAACATGGCACCTTTAAAACATTTGGTTTTTGCACACAATAAAGTAAACAAAGTAAGCACGTCATCAGCAGTTAGCATTACAAAAGTGGTGTCCATAACTTTTTTTCCCATGGCTGTATGTATCATTCATTTTCCTTGGGCTTAGTCCCTTTATTGATCTGGGGTCGCCACAGCAGAATGAATTGCCAACTTATCCAGCATATGTTTAACACAGCGGATGCCCTTCCAGCCGCAACCCAGTACTGGGAAACATCCAAACACAGTCATTCACACACATACATTATGCCCAATTTAGTTTATTCAATTCACCTGTACCGCATGTCTTTGGACTGTGGGGGAAACCGGAGCCCCCCAGAGCCTGTATGTATCATATGTAATGATAAACCATATCTGTTAATCACCATCTCCAAGTCCTCAAGTCAGCACACGTGAGTTGATTATTTGTCGAGTCAGATGACCGCAAAGCTTGGATCATTCTCACTGTGTTGTCTGGCTCTGTGTTTATAGCGCTATATTTGGCACTTCATGTCAGTCTTTATTTACAGTGACTCATATTAATACCTTGAATAATGAGCTTATCTATGAGATTAAGATTTACAGATTGTTGAACAAGACTGTATTACAGAAAGTGATCCCATTCACGTGCAGCAACAGCCGATTTACTTCTACAAATGTTTATAATGGAGTCCCGATGGAATTGTCAGTACAGAAACTTGCTGCTCACATCTTGATATGAGAAAATAACACAAGACTCCCAGCATGCATTTCAAACATGCTCAGCTTAATTACAGTATATAATGAGTGTGATTAATTAAATATGCCTCATCAAACTCCACGTGGAGTGGAAAAAATAATAATTATAAGGAAATTAATCAAGCATTGGGTAAATCAAAAATGTTATCATCAACCACTAGGTAATGACAACAGAGCAAAATTATTTTAGTCACTTAAAAAAAAAAATAACCTACCAATCAAAGGTTTGGGGTTCCGTAGGATTTTTGAAGGTTTTAAAATAAGCTTCTCCTGCTAACCAAGGCTGCATTTATTTAATCAAAATACAGTACAAAAAGTAAAATTGTGAAATGTAAATGCACTATAAAATAACTATTCAAAAGTAGTTTATTATTTAATTTAATCATGTATTCCAAAGATTTTAAAGATGAATTGTCAGCTTCATTACTCCAGTCTTTAGAGTCACATGATCCTTCAGAAATCACTCTAATATTAATTATTAATAGTAATATTAAAAGTAAAAGCAATAATGACTGGAGTAATAATTTCATTTAAAACTATACAATAAGAAAACAGTTATTTAAAATTTTGATAAGTATTTAACAATTTAACTTTTTTTTTTTTACATTTAATGAATGCCCCCTTGAACAAAAATAAATAAAAAAACTGACCCTAAACTTTTATAATATATATTTATTTCTTATTTTGATAATGATCATTCAATTACAATCACTGTGTAAGAAATGATCAATTTATTTATTCAATATTATCAATATCTTAAATGAATATTAAACAGCACAAACTGTCCCCCATATAAATTGAGGCCTGCAAAAGTATCCTAAAATATTTAGTTAATTAACAAAAAAAGATCTATGAAGTTAGATGCATCTTTACAAATGTTTAGCTTTCCAAGCTTATGTCAGTTATATACAGTTGAAGTCAAAATTATTAGCACCCCTTTACATTTTTTATTTTTTAAATGTTTCCCAAATGATGTTTAACAGAGCAAGGAAACTTACACAGAATGTCTGATAATATTTTTTCTTCTGGAGAAAGTCTTATTTGTTTTATTTCGGCTACAATAAAAGCAGCTTTTAATTTATTGGAAAACATGTTAAGGTCAAAATTATTAGCCCCTTTAAGCTATATATTTTTTTTCAATAGAACAAACCATTGTTATACAATAACTTGTCGAACCTGCCTCTTTTCCATTAAACAGAAATTGGGGGAAAAATAAACAGAGGCTAATAATTCAGGGGGGTTAATAATTCTGACTTCAGCGGTACATGTTTAGACAATACTGAAAAAACAATATGCTGCCTTAAATTGTTTATTTGAATAAAATTACTTTTCTATTTATCTCAACTTTTAGCAAATAAATATCAAGTAAAAATATTGGGTAAAAATATCAAGTTACATTTTGCGTAGCTAAAAGAATGTATTTGAAACCTGATTAACGTTAAAATAAGTTAAATTAACACAAAAACATGTTGTCATGACTTTTGTCATATAATTTTTTTTTACAGTGAACAAAACCCCAATGTTTTAACTTGGTAGAGTTGGGAAATCAAAATTTGGTGGAATAACCCTAAGTTTTAATTACATCAAATGAAACCATCTGTTCTTCTGGCCAAACGTGTGCATTTTTGTTTGTTTGTGTGGTTTTTTTTTTTTTTTTTTTTTTGCTGTTGTTGCCATCTGATAATCTATATGCAATCTATATATAGAGAATGATCATCTAAATAGAGAGTATGACTATTCAGACATGCACACATAAGAAAGCCTCAACACACATTTTGCCAATGACCTTCTCTCAGAGCCTGGTCTAGACCGTCTGGGACTTGTGTGGCACAAAGACAGGTGACATTTGGAGGAAAGTGTGTTGACCTGAGGATTATGTCTGTGACCAGCGGCTCTGTCCGTCTCTCAGACGCAGATTTGGAATGGGGCATTAATCCTCCAGAGGGCACCCTCATCATCCTAATCATCACTCTCACCACCACCTCCATCTAAATATGAGAACAAAAGCCACACAGCTGCTTTAGGACACATTATAGACTAGTGTGGAAACATACGCTCAATATTATAGCTTATATTTTAAAACAGATGAGGAATGGGTAAATAGATTGTCATGTCATGATATCATTCAATAAAGATTCTATAACGTGAAGAAAACTGACTAGATCAGATGTAAAACACAATGTAATTCTGATAATTACATTATTCAGAAATAAAGCATGCACTCAAAAAAATACTAGTAAGAACATGGTTAAAATTTGAGGAACAAGCAATAATAAATTAAAATAAATATCTATTTACTAATGATAAATGCACCACACAGGAAAACCTGGTTTATTTAAAATGTATTTCAAGATAAAAATGAATGCAGTTAAACTTCCCTGATTAAATGTACAAAAGATTAAATTGTAATTGTGTTAAATATAAATAAACAATTATTCCAAATACAATTTTAGGCCTAAAGACACATAAAGGATGATTAATCCTCCTGTGAAATTTTTATCTTTTATCAAGTATTTTATTTAACAGAGATGTTCAATATTTTTGAACAGTAGTTTTAATAACTATTTTCTAATAACTAGCTTTTTAGTCTTAAGCATGATGACACTACATAATATTTTACTAGATTTTTTGCCAGGTACTAGTATTCAACTTAAAGTGGCATTTTAATGCTTAACTAGCAAAGTTAGGTTAATTAGGCAAGTCATTGGACAACAGTGGTTTAGTCTGTAGCCAAATAAATCAATAAAAGCTAATATTGACTAAAAGCTGATGTTAAAACAAGAATTAAAAAAATATAATAGCAAATAATTAGAAAAAGAAATTGTTTAACGTCACTTTGAAAATATTTTTAAAAATAATTAAAATTTCACAGAAAAGCTAATTTTACCTTCAATTGAATACATTTATAAATAATAACTAGTCAAAATATATTAAACAAAAACATGGCACTATTTTGGTAATTTATAGGGGGAAAAACAAAAAACTTTAAATTACATTTATTCTTTACAGAATAATAACAAAAATATCTACTCAAACAAAAAAAATTTATTTATTTCTATCTTTTTTGGGTGTAAGTACAAGTGTCAATACTGCATGACGTTTATAAGTTAATGCATTCATGTCCTTTGCAGGACGGCTATATCGACTTTATGGAGTACGTGGCCGCTCTGAGTCTTGTGATGAGAGGAAAAATGGAGCACAAATTACGCTGGTATTTCAGACTCTATGATGTTGATGGGAATGGATGCATAGACAGATATGAGCTGCTGAACATCATAAAGGTAAGGAAGATTATACCACTAAATATGCACTAGATAGCTATAAGAAAACATTAAAGAAGAATGTTTTATTTTGGACTTATGCTTTATCTTATGTTAGGCCATTCGTGCCATCAATGGAAGCGAGACCCAGGAATCGAGCGCTGAAGAGTTCACAAACAGAGTGTTTGAAAGGATCGACATCAATGGGGATGGTGAGGAATTGTAAACAGATTTTGATAGTTCATATATTAACTATTATAAAGCATTACCAATCCGAAAAATAGTAATAATAATAATATTTCTTTCCATTAGATAGAACAAGTTTGCCCGCAGTTTCTTGCTTTGAGACTAATTGCTTCTTGGTTCAACTTGTGATTGAATGCTATCTATTTAACAGGGGAGCTCTCGCTGGATGAGTTTGTAGCAGGGGCTCGCAGTGATGAAGAGTTTATGGAGGTGATGATGAAGAGTTTGGACCTCACACACATCGTGGCCATGATCCATAACCGGAGACACAGCGTTTAAAAGACTGTTCAAATGTTTGGAAAACAGGACAGAGATGCTCCCTCATCAAATCTCCACTGTCTAATGCTAAAACCGTTTAGTGCACAAACAATCATTTCAAACTGAGACTGAGCTAAAGAGGCCAAGAGATGAAATTAGACTGGGACGTCCCACATCTAATAAACTGACTGTTTCCCAAAAAACAGCCTTCTTCAGAAAGAGGCTTCATGGGAAAAGAATCAGGAAGATGTTAACTTCCATTTATGAGGTTTTTACTTTTTTTTATTGAGATATTTTTGTTGTCAAAAATAGAGATAGCTTATGATCAAATATATTTTTAAAATATATATATTTTTTTTCTGTATTAAATGCCTCACCAAAAGACATGTATAAATTGTTTACTTACAAAAGATTAGCAACAATTACATTTTTGAGCAAAAGTTTGGGTTCAATAAGATTTTTTTAAAATATATAAAAGTATTTTATGATCACCAAAGTTGCATTTAATTGATTAAAATAAACAGTAAAATAGAAACATTTAGTACTGTATTAATATTAACAAGAAGCATAATAGAAATATGACACATGAAAGATTAAAAGCTTTTAATTTTCACTTAATAATAATAATAACAACAACAACATTAATAATAATAATACTCCTAGGATGGTAAAGCCTAATATTCAGCATCATTACACTTAACTTAATCATATCATTCAGTGTCACATGATCCTTCAAAAATCAGTCTAATATGCTGATTTCCTCAAGGTAAGCAAGTAATTAGCACTATCATTGTAGAAAACAGGAATTAGTTTTGACATTGCAAACATCTGTACTGTCACTCCTGATCGATTTAATTAATCAGTTGAATGCATCTTTGTCAAAAACAATAATATAAAATAAATAAATAAATAATATTAATAAGAATCATTTCTTAAAAAAGAAAAAAAACTTAGACCCCAAACTTTCCAGCAAAAGATTTTGTGTTTAATAGATGTGTAATAAACATCTAAATGTATACAGCTTGGCTAAAACAAGGCTAAACTTGGGCTGTCAGTGAAAATCTAAGAGACATCTAAGAATAGCCCAAAACTAGACTAGTCATCCAATAGACAGATTAGACAGACTTTATTTGTGTAGTCATTCATTTCTGTTTATTTGATGACTAGTCTAGTTATGCCCTATTTCTTTAGACATCTATTAGATTTTCACTGACAGCCTAAATTTAGCCTTGTTTTAGCCAAGACGACTGTTTAGATGTCTATAGACAACTTAAAAATGCTTGCTGGGCTTTGAATAATAGTAAGTGTCATTTTTTTGTGTTTAAATAGAATAATAAATCTTATAAATGTTCAAGGGGAGGTGATTTTTGATACTAAGTTTTTATAGCATTTTAGAGGCCAGTGTGATTTACTGTAGTATGTAATATAATTAAATAATTAGTCAAGAATACATATTTTAAACAGTTCTAAATGAATGACTGCACTGCACATTAAACTGTCTGGTCAGGAATCATGTCATATTAGCACATTATTTTAGTTTTTAAAGTGCAGAAGACTGAACATGGCTTGTTCAGTATTAACATAGACACATTATGAAGGTGCCTTCTGTTGTAGGACCCCGTGATCTTTTTAAGCTTGTTAAAAACTGCTTGTGCTTTCATTTGTATATTAAAATATGACTGAAACTGCTGTAAATCGATTCATTGATTACAAACACAGACACCAAAATAACCCGTTACCCTTGAGTCTTCTGTTTAAATTAATGTTTTAATGTATTCAACACAATATCACTGCATCTCTGCAAGTAGTTACTCAGAGTATGAGTAAAAAGATCTTTCAAAAGTACTCAAGAGTAGTGAGTATTACGCTGTGAAAAGCTAATGCATTAACAGGATGTGTGTAAACGTAACATTCTGTAGTGCATTTAGTTATTGTCCAGCAAGCACACAACATCAGACTTTAATATTTGGTTAGGTTGTTATGTCAGGTGACCAAAATTCAATGTCTAGCCAGCATCTAAGGACAAAGTTATTTTGATTATCACTAACGATGTGAAATGAGGTTAAAGTTTCTTTAATTTTAGGTTTTGTTAGAAAGTGACCAAAATCCAGTGTCGAGCCAACATCTTAAACCAACATATTGTTGATGTCAAATACTGACATTTATTCGTCAGGTACGACAACCAAAAACCAACATCTGATAGACATCATAGTAGTAATGTCCACACAACGTCAAGCTGTAACATCATTAGATGTTGATATTTGGTTGATTTTAGATTGGTTGTTGGACACTGCCGTCAACCTGATTTTCATTTCCAAACAAAATGCAACATCGCGATGACGTCAAGGTACAAACATCATGTTGATGTCTTGTGCCTGCTGGCCGGCCATTATACAGTAAACATTCATCATCTTCTCATCAGTGACATGCATCTGAACAGTCTCTGGGTCAATGCATGTAAAGATCTTGGGCATCTTCTTGGACACTTTTAGTGCTTCCAAAGAGTTTGTTCTGATTATAAAGCGCCCATGTCTTGAGGTAGTTGATTATGATGTGATTTACCTTCTATGTGCAATTTGATTAGACAGGAATCGCAGGTCTGATTTTTCTCATCCCCATAGACAAGAAAAAATAGTGACTTCAGGTTAAGGAAAGAGCGGAGTACCGATACTGTACTAAAATGTGCTCAAATGAAAATAAAAGCACACATTTTTAAAACTACTAAGTAAATTACAATTTCTGATCACAGTAGTATTTGTACTTTGTTACTTTACACCACTGCCTCCAATGGAATTGACTAGACAAATGTAAAATAACATAAAAACACTTATGTTTGAAAGTAAAAGTAAATCAGTTAATTAAGAATTTTTCAAAAGTGACAGCAGTGATATTAATAAACAGCGAAAGACCTACCGGAATTACATTAAACATGGTTTTCAGTTTCATATTGGTTATTTTTTTGCCTAATGTTAAATTTATTAGTGATTTTCTATTTCTAACTACTTTAATTTTATATAAGCTAGTAGTTTTGTCTCTGTGAAATATACATGTAAGTTAAATCAAAACAACTACATATTTTGTTTTACTACTTTTTTGTTTTGTTATATTTCAGCTAAACCAGTGAAATGTTTGGAAATGCAGGTGAATCCTTGAACAACTGGTCTGACTGGAGCAGAAGAAAAATTATTTTTAAAAAACTATAATTTTTAAATAAAACATGAAGACAAGGATAAATATTGTAATATTACTTAATGCTTTACTAACATTCTCTTTGCTATAGTTTATCGATATTTTTGAAATCATGAAAATAATAGTTAAAAAGTTCTGAAAACAAAACAGACACTTTTTTTTAAAAACTCTGGTCCCTTTAACTACAGAAGACTGAACGTCTGAAAAGCTGAACAAACACACTACAACACTGAAAAGCCTCATCACAATCAATCACTTACACTCCTCTGCACAGTTTTTCTCCTTGATCCTCATTTAGCTGTCGTTCTGGCATGTGTTTGTCTACATCTGAGAGGCTGATTGGTATTCATGCCAGCTTCACCATCTTGTTGCGACAGGATAAGGAGGTCAATCCACTGAGCTTCTGCAGAGGAGTCAAATATCACAAAACATGTTTGTAATATAGATACGCCACTCACTTTAAATGTGACATACAACTGTGGCATTACCATGAAGTCTGGGGGAGATATGATGAGATGTCTGCCATGCTGCAAAAAACACTGGATGAGAAACAGCAGAGTGGAATAAAGCCTAATAGATGTAAACATATCATTATTTTACAGTAACAATCCATAGCAAAGCTTGTACCTGTCATTGACATTTAGTTTAACTCATTTTGAGTGCAATATTAGTTTCAAAGTTTGGGGAAAGTAATAAATAAATATAGAACAGTTCAGCATCTATATTACTTTCAGATTTAAATGGCCATTTGAAGGCTTTCTATTCGTTATGGATAAATATATACAAAAACAATTCAAACAAGTTCGCCATAACAATAATGAATTTCACTTATAAATCTGTTCAAACAGAAAACGGCAACTTCTTAATACTGCTTATAATATTTTACAGCGTTTGGTCAATGTAAGACACAAAAACATTTTTTTTTTAATCTTACTATCCCTAAACTATTGAACGAAAACTAGTTAATAAAAAATACATGAAGACCCACTATTTTAACAAACTATACAGCTTTTATTACACCAGTATTAGGTTACAGTGTGCCACACGATAAATTCCCCTTAAGGAAGGAGACCCTTGGATAAATTGTGAGTATTTTTCCATGATACCATCTGATTAGACTAGTAATGCAGAAAGCTCCTGTAACATCAGTCCATAAAGCTCTCCAAGTGTTTTGTCCAAGCAGATCTTCATTTCCACTGCAGCAGATTTACAGGAAGTCATACAGATACTTCACCACATCAAAACTTACGGTTCTAGTAGGAAACACAAAGAAATGAACAACAATTTAGCACACAACCAAATTTGTACTCACATTAGGGATACAACGGTTAGACGATTTCACTATTAACTGCGCTTTAATGAATATATCGTAAAGGCTTTTCAACACCGCATTTCTGCACGAAACAAAGTTATGCCAACTGTATGCTAGTCTAAAGTTCCAAGCTTGTACACAAGGCCAATATGCAAGCACATTGGATTAAAGGTTGATTTTAACTATGGCTTAACTATTTATCTCATCAATGTTCTGTAATTTATTGTCAGTGTACTTATGTTCAAATGCCAAAAACGTTTTTTACTTATTTTTTAGTCAAAAAAGAGAAATTGACTATTATTTGTTGGCTACTAAGCAGCAATAACTAACACTTTAAAACATAAGAAGGTTTCATATAATTTTTTAAACTAGTGTTTTGAAATTAATTAAGGCATAATAACCGTGATAATCGTGAAACCATGATTGTTCCTCATACTATAATCGTACAACCAAAATCTATTATTGTTGCATGCCTCTATTACCGTTGCATGCATGTATATACACTCACAGACCTGGATATTGCCAGAATGAAGTCCAGTGAAACAGCACATTTGTATTTGGGTGAGTCCAGCTGGTCATCATGTCCCACCTGAGAGAGAAGCTGCAGAGTAACTAGAGATGAAATCTGAAAGACAGAAAGCAAAACAACTGTATTTCTGCATATCATATCACTATTATTCTAAAAGTACAATACTAATGTCACTATAGCCCCATTCAGATTACACTATTTTCCCCCAATTTCGACATGAAAACAGTCACCATGGTTGTCATGGGGATTCATACAAATTGGAATCATATAGTGCAAGACAACTTATACCATGACTGCCACGCTTCACAATATGTCAATGCAGAAAGCTAGCATGTTTTACATGAGGCTTACATGTCATGACAATCGAAGACTAATACTTTTCTGACCAAAATAAACTTTCTTAGAAAGGTTGTTTGAATTTAAATGCTATAAAAAATTATTATACATTACTATAATAAATTAAGTAGAGTAGGTTTTCAATCAAGTTTTACAATTTCACAAGAAATTACAAAGAGCGACGCTTAAATTAAACAATATCAAGGTTTTAACTAGATTTTATTTAGCTGAAAATCGTTATTTTAAAATAAAAAACAAAATGATCTATAAACAGGCAACGCAGTGGCACAGTAGATGGTGCTGTTGCCTCACAGCAAGAAGGTCACTGGTTCGAGCCTCTGCGTTTCTGTGTGGAGTTTGCTTGGTCTCCCTGCGTTCGCGTGGGTTTCCTCCGGGTGCTCCGGTTTCCCCCACAGTCCAAAGACATGCTGTACAGGTGAATTGGGTAGGCTAAACTGTCCTTAGTGTATGAGTGTGTGAATAAGTGTGTGTGGATGTTTCCAAGAGATGGATTGCGGATGGAAGGGCATCCGTTGCGTAAAAAACATGCTGGATAAGTTGGCGGTTCATTCCGCTGTGGCGACCCCAGATTAATAAAGGGACTAAGCCGAAAAGAAAATGAATGAATGAATGATCTAGAAACCCACACACAAACAAATAAAAAAAGTTGAAATACTGCCACCCAGTGTCTAACATGTTCCCAAAACTTTAGAGTTGTTTTTTTAGCTATTGCTGCCACATTGTACATAAAACCACAAAACAAATTGCATATTGCTTTTTTCGGAAATGAACATTTCTGCAAAAACATTTTTTATTTATAAAACAATTGTATGCCAAATGTCATCATCCAATCAACTAATTTACCTGTGAGAAGATACTGGCTGTAGGAGCGACTCTGCTATCGACCACACTGTAGAAAATGGCCAACAGTCGGTCAAGAGGAAAAGGCTTCGGTCCCAACAGGTGGTTACTAGTCTGCAGAAAAAAAGCAGAAAAAATAAATTAAACCTGTAAGAACGGCAGCAATAAACAATATAGATCATGAAAAATACTAGCAACTCCATACCTTTTCATGTTTCTTCAAGAAATTAGTCTTTTTGATTTTTCCATGACTCTGAAACACAAAAAAGCTCTTAGTGGTCAGAAGATATATTCTTTATTAAAATATTCATTAAGTTTAAATCATATCCTCACTTTCAGGAAGAAGCGTCGATCTGTGCGCGCAGGGTTAAAGGATGCCAGATACGCAGCGATCAGCAGAAACTTGGAGTAATATGGCAGCTCTATGTGAGCATGTGCTGATAAACCTAAGGGAAGGGAAAGAAAGGGAATTTTTAAATTAACAAAGTTTTTTTTAGTCACCTTTACAAACTTTCTTCAGTGACAGAACAAAATGCCAACAAAACTCTTTCAAATCTTCAACATTATCCATAAAGCCATAATGTTAAATAGTAGATGTATTCCAGCTGTTTTATACATTATAAAAAATCTAAATATTTGAATATAAATAGATTAATTTGTCTAATCTATTTTTTTTCCTTTATTTTTTCTGTCTCAATTTGTTAGTTTAGCTTATGCCAATAAATAACACCAATAAACAAAATGCATAAATATTTTCTACATGCTCTTCTTATTGACTGGTATCAACAAATGGAACATATTTTTGTTTTAATTTGACGAATAGCAATCCATTAAATTAAAATATTTCTTTTTATATGTTACTGAATTCAACTGGTGTCAATTTACCAGAACTTAATCTATGTTAAGCTGCTTTGAAACAATCTACAGTGTAAAAAGCACTATAGAAATAAAGATTAATTGAATGATTTAATAAACTGTGTGTCATGCAACACAATACAATGTTCCCTCCAGAATTTTATAGTTTGTTTTTTTATCATACCCATTTCAAACTTCAAAATGCAGTTGATTAATTGTCATACTATACATACAAACAGATGGTGGCAGATACAAATTCTTGTTCAATGCCATTAAACTGCTGGCCACTGCCATGCTTTCATCCTGTCGCAAAATGTAGCAAAAAATGTAGTGTGATTAAAATCTGTGTCTATACTGCATTTCCATAATACAACTAAAATAGGAAACTCCACTTCAATGAATTTGTTTAAATAATAACTACTTCAATAAAAACTCTTACACTGTAAATCCATATTATATTGTCCTAATATGTTAATATTGAAATATTGATGTGTATGTTAATGCACTGATAGTGAAATATGACTCATCAGGGCAGCCCATCGGCTAATGTGAGGGCCAATAGAAGTACAAATCTTGGCACTCTATGCAGGAAAAGCAGTGGACCCAATTTCCAATACGCCTGTGAGATGCCAGCAGATGGTCCATGAGGGCACGACTGAGGCCTCTGCTGTCCTGTCTGAACATGCAGAGTGTGTGATTGTGTGTGTGTACCTCTGAGAGCTGTGGCCTCCTTCTCGTCCATCTGCTGCTGCTCCCACTGTACACTAATAGCAGAAAACCCAAAAACACAAACATTCAGTGCCTGATGACACACAAACTCAACCTCAAACACCATACATGAACTGCACAGACCTGGACACCTCTCGGAGGTAAACTGTCTGCATGGCTCTATGCAGATGGGGCTCGATGTTCTTCCATAACTTGTGGATATCACTCTCTTTGGCTGAAAAAAACAAAAAATAAGATGATTACAAGATGATTATTGCCTACTTCGATAATGCTGTTGTTTTCAGTTTCTCGTGTTCTTTTGACTGTGAAACAAACAACGCCCTGGTTCAGTACTGACAATTTGTGGACAAATCTTGACTTATTTTAATGATATGCGTTTAGATTTGGTCAAGTGCAACATTTAGAAATATGTACCAGGTGCCATATTGCCATCGAGTATCAGTTTTTGATAAAAATGTGACTAGGGCTGCACGATTAATCCAAAAAAAAAAAAAAAAAAAAAAAAAGATTGTGATCTTGATTCAACCCCCTACAACACGATCTTAATCCAGCATTTTTAAGATTCAGCCAATTAACCGTGAACTACGCGTTTACCACTCTGCAGTTAAAGTGACACAGAAAGAGAGCATATCAATTAAACGATCATATCGCATTTTAGAGTTATGTTTACGACAAACATTTGATTTTTTTTTCATATCAAACACAGGGTGTTGTGCATGAGAAAAACATTTAACAGCAGCAGTATAACTACTAAAGGAATCTGGTAATTTTACCAAAAAAAATGTTGTCAATGACAGATTGCAAGCATATGTCTCAAACATAATAATTCAACTTCAGAATTATGAATACTTGTATTCTGATGTAATCACTTTATTACACATTAATAACCAGGAGAAATTTAAAGTTTATTCAAGTCCACAATACCAAGTCTGTACAAAAGTTTGCATTTTGACCAATAGTAGAGTTACACATACTGTAGGCTTAATATTATTAGTGTTGTTTTACTATATGTTTGAGAATAATAATAGCCTACTGATGTGAATCTTCATTTTACATCTACTGAATCATGAGAAAATTGTGATCTTCATTTTAAGCAAAGAAAAAAAATTGTCATTGTCATTCTAGCCAGAATCATGCAGCCATAATTGTGACAGACAAGTATTTTTTTGAAGCTTTGGTTGTTGAGTTAACATTGGGTTTGTACTATGCCAGCAGTGTTTAAACTCGGTCATAGAGGGTCGGTGTCCTGGAGAGTTTAGATCTAACCCTAATCAAACAAACCTGAAGCAGCTAATAAAGCTCTTACTAGATGTCCTAAAAACTTTCTGGCAGGGGTGTTGAAGCAAGTTGGAGCTAAACTCTGCAGGACTGAGTTTGGACACCCCTGAACTATGCCCTTAAATAAATAAAGTAAATAAGTCAAGAAAGTCAGAAAATAAATAAATATATTATTAAATGTACAGTTAAAGTCCAGAATTATTAGCCCCCCTTTGATTTTTTTCTTTTTTAAATATTTCCCAAATGATGTTTAACAAAGCAAGGGAATTTTCACAGTATGTCTGATAATATTTTCTCTTCTGGAGAAAGTCTTATTTGCTTTTTTCAGCTAGAATAAAATATTTTTTTCTTTTTTTAAAAAACAATTTTAAGGTCAAAATTATTAGCCCCTTTAAGCTATATATATTTTTTCGATAGTTTACAGAACCATCATTAGACAATTACTTACCTAATTACCTGCCTAGGTAACCCTTTAAAGTTAACTTTAAGCTGAATACTAGCATCTTGAAAAATTTCTGGTAAAATATCATTTACTGTCATCATGGCAAAGATAAAATAAATCAGTTATTAGAAATGAGTTATTAAAACTATTATGTTTATAAATGTGTGGAAAAAATCCTCTCAGAAATTAGGGAAAAAATAAACAGGGGTGCTAATAATTCAGGAGGTAATAATTCTGACTTCAACTGTATGCATAGCTGTGTTTACCTTCTCCTTTCTCCAAAGGTTCACAGAACTTGGAAAAGTTCAGCATAGCCTGTTTAAACAAAAATTAAGAGTGTATTTTAGAATATTAGGCAGTTTAGTAGAACTTGCTCAATTCTGTCCTTTATGAAGCAGTGAAAGATGCAAAAAAGAGAAAGTTTTACTCTCTACCTGCAACATCATAAAAACTGCTACACATCAACTGCTCCGTTTATAGACCTAGACAATTTAAAGGGATGGATGATCTCACCAGGTGCCTGAGCTCCCTTAGATCCCTGCACACCGAGAAGAAAACCCCCAGCAAGATGTTTATGTAGGAGGCGTAGAGCTCAGGTGTGTAGGATGGGTGATGATCCTTTGACAGAATCTGCACAAGCTCCACTGTGGAAACCAGAAAACAGAAGTTTTCAGAGTGTTTCAAACACCCATCCAAATATTAACAGTGTCCTTGTCCTTGTTTGCAACCTGTATTAAAACTCACCTCATTGTGATTATATTGAGAAAGCACAAACGGTTTTACAAAAGCCCTCAAATGCCCGTTCTAGTTTAATCCCATCACAAATTTGATGTTTCAAGTAGAAGGTTCTTAGTTACATAAAACATAAATTGACAAATCTGATCTTTAGTCATGTTTATAAAACACTTTTATTTTGTGGTACAATTACATAATATAGTAAAAACAAAGCTCTTTATTGCATAATCAAAATCTGCCACTCACCTTTACTGTAATCTGGGAAATGAAAAAGCAGAGGTTCAAAGCAGCCGGTGTTAGGACGAAACTTTTCCCACACTATTTCGCTGAGTAAGATAATGGTCACATTATCATTTACCTGCAACAGATAGAAAATGCATCAATGATGGGAAGTTATTATATTTCCACATGTACTCTATTCTAACAAAATTTGTGGCTCTTATTAAGCATTGGCCTCTTTATAAATGGATGAGATTGTAACCCTGTTATAGTAAAGCATTAGCAAAATTGAGTGTGTGTGTGTGTGTGTGTGTGTGTGTACCAGTTCCTGTAGGCGCAGAAGAGCAGGAAGCAGGCTGAAATCCATATCTCTTATGCGTTCAGCTCGGTCCAGAACCTACAGAGACATTTAATAACTTACAGTATATGTTATCTTTAACATCAATGGCATAAAACAAACAAAAGTGTGGAAAAAATAAGACACCTTTTAGGCGGTCAACATGTAATATTCTATATATTTTATTTAACCAAATGTTGGCGAAAATATGACTAAAAATGATCTAAAAATATTAATTATTTATACTCAACTGTTGTCTTTTTCTGCAAATAAATTATGCAAATGATAATAATATTATCATTTGAAATAAAAAAAAAACATGTTATCAGTAGTTTAAAAAATATATAATAAAAACACAAAACATCTATGAATGGCAAATCTAGATAACTGATAATATTTTTATTAATAATTACTGATAATATGCACACTGTGGCATGTATACTGCAATATATACATCTGCAATATTTTGATAATTATGTATATATATACATAATGTATACAGTATGTGTGTGTGTGTGTGTGTGTGTATTGCATAGCCCTAATAATAACACCAAAATACTGACAAATCTCCAAACATAAGCAAAACCATTGAATGTTAAATATTAGAATGAAAACTCACTATATAGCGTGTCTGTGTGGCAGGTGTGTTGGAGCTCATCTGTTTGTACAGGCGTACAAAATCTGACAAAGACGGACAACGCGGAAGCAAAGCAGCTGAATCTGGTCCGAAAAGGGCGGACAACACCTGGTAAAACAGCAGTCCAGCGGACACGCACTCCACACAGTCCACTGAAGCATGAGGAAGCTGCAAAACACACACAACACCAAAATACAGCCATTGTCTTTCACTTCTGACACTAAACATGTTTACTCAAGAAACCTAAAATGAAGGCAGAAAAACACTAAATGGATTTTTTAAATTGAAGTAGTTTTGTTAAAAACAAATCATCCTATGTTTATTATTTTTATATATAGTTATATATAGTTTATATATAGTTTATATTGTGATTGATAAATGATCAATTACTAAATCGCTAAAGATAGAGGCCTCATGCTGAACTGAACTTATTTATATATACTTATTAAATGGACAAAGCACAAACAAAATTAAGTAAATAAAAACCTTTTTTTGTATGCAATTGCTTAACAGCACTAATATTAGATTTCCATAAGTCCCAAAACAGACAATTAATCCTCAAAGCTATTAATCGTCAGACAGATTTCATAACTGTGATGGCCCTAGCAAAAACATAAACATCACTTCTAACAGATGCATTACTAATGAAAAACAAATAAACAAGTTCAGCTCGAAATCAAAAAACCTGTTTGACTTACTTTGATATCCTCTGATAACAAAGCATTAGTCTGTGCCCATCATACACGACATCTGCAGCCTGATTCTGACTTATAGCTTAGCAGCATTGATTGTCAATATGGGAGGTGGGGGGGATATCTAGGCAAAAGTGATGTAATGTGCTTCTTCACCTGCATAAATGAGGACTTCTCCAGTTATATGGAAACTCGGGTTTCCATATAATCCTTTTTCATTATCTTACCTCCAGATCCTTCATGATGGTGAGCACCACATGACTCTTTCCCGTTGCTCTGTGCCCATAGATGAAAACTGAAGGATAGCTGTAGTGATCTGGCTGTTAATCAACAGAATAACCACAATTCAAGTTAACAACGAACATGTGACATATCACAACTGTCACTATATAATGCAACAATGCCAGTGTGCAGCATTAAGACAAATTGAACAAGAGTGTTTTTTTAAGAACTATTTTAAATACACTTTTCATATTTATGTGCATGTGAGATAGATATATATATATATATATATATATATATAAAGAAATCATGAAATATTATTTTTTATTCAGTTTTTAAAATCATGTGAGCTTTTAATGAACATGGTAAAAGGTTATAGCATCACAAACTTTTTTTGTCATTTACATAAAGATTTTTTTTGTTTGTTTTCAAAAAATGAAATTGGTCAGAACAATTAAAACATTAACTGTTTTCATTTGTCATAATTTAAAAAAGCAGTGTTATTGCACCAATTAGTTCTTGAACTATTTTTATTGCCGTTTTATATATAATACGTCATTTTAAGTAAGCTATTATAGTACACTTCTTCAATTGATTTTAGTTCAGTAATTGTTAATTATATATATGTAGCTTCTATACATATATGTAATTATTTATATATTGTAGTATGTTTATGTATATTTACTTTCATATTTACATTAAGTTGCATTATTATTACATTTCTTCTACAGTTTATAATGGTGTTTTTTTTTACATTTGATTGTTTTTATTATTTCTATAATTTATTACAAGAACATAAACAACAGTTAAGTATAAAGTAAACTATAACAAAAAATAATAATTCTGCCATTTAACTTTTTTATTATTATTATTGCAAGAACGATACAAACAAAACAATGCCAGAGGTATTAAAATAATAAAAAAACTAAATGAAATAAAATAATAGAAAAGGCTTAAAAAATATTACAATTAAATAATGCTAGGCCTTGCTAACTCACATTAACTTAAAAGTGTCAAACAAATACACGGTTTAAACAGCTATTTTGTTAGTACTTCCCTTAATGGTATTTATATAAATATTTAGTTCTTTAAGTACCACTAAAACAGAGGTTTCTGATTGCTAAATTAACATCGATGACATACATAATATCGATACATAACATAAGCTTCATTTTCCAACTTCTTATCATGGTTAAACCAAAAATAACATATTCATACAGTAAAAGAAAATTTGACAGCACTTAATCGTTTATAAATTTAGATACCTTCCCCCATAACAGTTTTGTGTATTGACAATGCCAGAAAATATAAGGTACTGTTTCTGGGTGAGATGAGCAAAACAATTGACATCCATTTTTTTAATACATCTGGTTAAAAAAAATGCTTAACAGGGTAAAATTAGTGTACTATCTTAAATGAGATTTCTTTGATTTTATTTGTAATTAAATATTTATTAGGTAATACCAAAAGTTTCCTCCAATCAGTATTTTGAGTAAACCAATAGAAAATTACATATTCTGCCATTTAACTTACCTGCCCCATGAGTGACAGCAGTGACGTCACCTGTGTCTCCCTGCATGGCAGTTTTTCAGCAAGGGTGCGCAGTGTGTCTTCAGGATAACCGGGACACTGCAGAGTTACAGGCATCCTCTGATCACAGCAAAACACATGCATTTAGTAAAGTGATAAAAACTACAGATGATAAAAAGCTCGGTTTAAAACCTTGAGCGCACACAGGTGTTTGAACAAACTTAAATGCAAAACCTAGATGTAGATTAGATATCGCATTATTAAAAATGATGCGTTCATTATTGAAGATTAATAACCATAACTGCTAGAACCTATACTGAGAGATATTCACACGTGGTCAAACTAGCAAAGCCCTAAACATAACACTTTTAAGCAAAAACCAGTAACAACAAGAAACATAAAAACCTGATACTCGAGCAAGTTGTGTATCAGCAGAAAGACATTACAATTTTTGGTTATATATTTTCAGCTTTCTTCCTGCACGGTAAACTTCACATCAGTTTCCCCGCTCAAGTCGCAACATACGTCACAAGCCGCATGCGTCACTTCCGGATACGGTACTCTGGGATATGTAGTTCTTGGCAGTTGCTCTTAAATTAATTTTTTATAACGTTTGAATCGGAGAATCTTTGGTCATAATTCTCGCGAAACTCACAGAGACACAAAAACGATTTTGGATACAATTTTATATCGGACTCTGTTTGATCACAGAGTCATGCCAGCGTCTCTTTTCTGAATCTCTCCTGTATCTGCTATGCGGACGGGAGTGACAGACGCAGACTGAATATTCGGGTGTGCCTGAAATCTGCGCTGTTCGCTCGAGCGCGCCTCATTGACAACCACACGCGCGGAATGAATCTTTTCATCCCTGCTTTTTTGCACTGAGTCGACATCACTTTGGTCAGGTGCAGTGGGTTTTCTTGCTCCGAGATGTGCGCGCAGGATTAAATCGGATGGAGCAGTGGTGCGCCGTTAAGCCAGAAGCCGAGAGGAGAGCGACATTTGCGTGTTGCAACTGTCTGTGCGTGTAAATCTGAGAAGAATGGACACGCAAAATATGATGCAGTGCAAGTGTCGTCATCCCAGCATCCGTTATTTCTGTTGAACGCAACAGCACGGCGAGACTGATCACGGAAAATCAGTCTTTTCCCATAGTAGCCTCGTGGAAACGACCATTTGGACTGTACAAGGTAGATTATTGCTTATATAAATGTACCCTTTAGTATATATATGTCTCATTCGCACACCATCCAAGCATTAATTTATTCGGGTCATCATTAAGTATTCATACTGACATTTGCGTTGGGAATATTATCTATGATGCGCTGGAATGCGTCGTCGTCATATGAGCAGTGTTTTCCTATGAGTTTAGTCATTATTTTTATGCTGTCCCGAGTGTGATTATTCACCTTAATGAGATTGCTTGGCTGAATGATGCGGATGCACAGACACTGAATGAGAGGAGAGCTGGAAGAGAACATCATTGGAGTCACGGACAGACTGCCACATCCACGCTGAACGAATCACTGTGACATCTGGCACCAAAACTGCTTAGTCTGTCGCGACATCTGTGAGCTGTTCTGTCTATACTTGAGTTTAGCTGGCACCCCAGGCAACAACCAAGTCCGGATTGAATATACAGAGGACCAAAAGTCCAAACTAAATGCAGAAAGGAGAGAGTCTACACTGAAACTACAGATGAGCTGGACCTGGACTGAATCCAGATAGGATCTGAATCCAAGCTGCATCTGAAAAGGACCAGATTGGGACTAAATCCAGACAGGGTCTGAATCCACACCGAATCCAAAAAGGACCAGATTAGGAATAAATTCAGATTAAATCTGAATCCACAATAAATCCATAAAGGAGCTAAATCTGAGCTGAATCCAGATTCTGGATAATTTTTTGCATCCACACTGAATCCATAAAGGATCTAAATCTGGACTACATTTGAATCCTGACGGACCCGAGTGCAGTTAAAACTGAATCCAGATAAATCAAGATAAAAAAATCAGAGCAAAATCCAGCTTCAATCCAGTCAAAATCCACAAAGGATTTGAGTACAATTTGAATCCACATTGGATCTAAATGAAGGCTGAAATTACATCTAGAGTTATTCTAGAGCAATTTTTAAATTGAGTCTGAATCCAAAGAAGACCTAAATTTGAATTCAGAATTTAGAGCTTGGCTCTAGATATAATCCAGAAAGGAACCTAATCCAGACTGAATCCATAAAGGACCTACATCTGAACTAAATCCAGATCGGATCAGAGTTTGGTTTGAATCTACAAACTGAATCCTATTTCTAGATTAAATTTAGATAATCCAGTCTCAATCCAAGTAGGACCTCTAAATATACAGATTGAGGACCAGCAAACTGAATCCAGTGTAAATACAGGGTAAAGAGGACCTGAGTCCTATACTTGAATCCATAAACTTCTGAATCCATCTATCTGGCACACCTGCAGCAATGCTCCCAGCCACAGAGGCCGCCAAGATCTACCAGACCAACTACGTCAGGAACTCTCGTGCCATCGGGGTCCTGTGGGCCATTTTCACCACCCTCTTCGCAATAGTCAACGTAGTATGTTTCGTTCAGCCCTACTGGATCGGGGATGGCATGGACACACCACAGGCTGGCTACTTCGGCCTCTTTCACTACTGCATAGGGAGCGGGATGTCCCGGGACCTGACGTGCCAGGGGAGCTTCACTGAGTTTGGCTCAATCCCATCCAGCGCCTTCAAAGCGGCGTCCTTCTTCATTGGGATGTCCATGGTGCTGGTCCTCTCATGCATCGGCTGCTTCGCCCTCTTCTTCTTCTGCAGCACAGCCACTGTGTATAAGATCTGTGGGTGGATGCAGCTGGCAGCAGGTGAGTGACTGGGCATAATTTGTAGGTTTTACCGTGACTACTGATGTATAGGTTGACAGGAGCATAATGTGTAAGGCTGGAAATCAGGAAGTTTGTACAAACACAAATACATAATTCAGGGTTTTTGATGGAGAACAACAATTTAATACCCAAAGCATGGTAAATACAATTTTTAAATAACTGCTGTTTATTTTAACATATTTGAAAATGCTATTTATTATTGTGTTGGCAGAGTTAAATATTCAGTTAAATATCATTACCTCGGTATTGTGTCACATTATACTTTAGAAAGTATTTAAATACTTAAACATTTATTTTAATAATTAACATAATAATAATATTGTAAATAATAATAATAATAAAAATAATAAGCTGCTGTTTTGTTTCTTATGATTAGAAAGAACTGCATTGATCTACAGTAGAAAGCTTTTGTACAATATAAATGTTTTTGCTGTTACTTTTGTCGAATTAATGCATCCTTGCTGAATAATTCATTAATTTCTTTAAATAAACATTTGTAAAAAATCCCAAACTTTTCAACAATCATATTTATTGTTAAGAACATCCAAAGACCAATACGTGTGGCAATATAATGACAATATAAATGTAAATTATTCAAAATGTGATATATATGTTTATCATATTAATGTTTTTATTTCTACACAAAGAAAATTTTTTACATTTTCAGGATGTAGTCGAAATGACTTATTTTCAGACACAGTATGTTTGATAGATTACCTATTATCTCTTTTTTTAAACAATAGATTTACCAAATTTATGATTCTTTGCATCTAAAAAGATAATTAAATAGATCTGATATCATTCTGTGAATGTGCAATTCCCCATCAAAGAATTTAAGAAATTTTAATAAAAAAACAGAGTAATGAACCATTAGTTTACACTGCCATCCACTAGATCACTGCTGGGAAGTTCTTTTAGTGCATCTCCCAAATGTGATGCTTTCAGAAAAACTCTTTAAAAATCAGACCCGCTAGCCATTCAGTGAATTCACAGAGGAATTATATTAAATAAATAAATAATGTGGACCATTTTGTTATCCTTAAATTAAACAGTTGAGCATGATGAGAAAATGAGCCCAAGCACTGGATGTGTCTTTTTTCTCCTGTAAAGAGAAAAACAACCGCAGATTGGCTTAGTCAGTTTATTTTTCCCTTGCCGACCAAAGCTGAACGTGTCCTTGATATTTTTAAAGAGGTTTTCTTTGAAGATGCACTGTTTTAGGGCCTCGGAGAGCTGGGTTTGGTTGTGTTGTGCTGTGAAAACTTGCATTAGGGTGTAGAATATATGAAATGTGAAAAGCACATCACTTTTGTTTGAGGCTTTAGCTTAAAAATTAGATTTTTTCATTAATATCCTCAATTTACTTATCCTAGTATTTGGAAGTTTACCTTTTCCATATAGTTCAGACTCCATAACCATTTTAATAAAGTCTGAGGATATATATACAGTGCTCAGCATAATAAAGTATACCCCATTTTGAAAATGAATATTTGTATCCATTTTTCAGTGAATATTGGCAATGTATTTTGGTGCATTTAAACAAAACAGATTTATTAAACAGATTAATTTATTGAAATAATATTCTAGTCTCCAAACATATTTAGAAATTGAAAAATAATGCAATTAAATTCAAGCAAAATATTGCAAAAAAGGCTACATTTTCTTAATTTTTTTGCTTCTCTTGATTTTTCCTCTTTTTAAATTTGTATTTAATATTTTTCTATAGCATATAAATTTAGCTGTAAGACTGTAAGCACACACAAAAATAAAAACAAAATATGAGCAGAAAAACAGATTTTGTTTGAAATTTGGAACTCTGAAATAAGGTTATAGATTTGTGCAATGTAATAAATAATTAAAAAATCATTTATGCTTGTTATCTTTTAATCCTTAAGACAATAGCTATGTTTCCATCATTCAAAAATGCAAATTATGCACAAAACTGGAATATTGCATAAAACATATGCAAATAAAGTAGTGTTTCCAACCAATGAGTCAAAGAGAACAAAGTCGTCACTTCCTGATTAACTGGCGCCAAATATCCAGTGTAAAAACAGAATTTGCTGCAGTAAGAGAAGCTGTGTCATTCTTCTCTTTATTATTGACTTGCGCCTCAGAAGACAATATGCTTGCGGACACGTAATGAACACATGGTGGCGTTTGAAGTTGTGACAATTCTGGAGGTAGTTAATAATATAATAACACTAATACTGAAATGGTTAAAGCCGTTAAAGACAGTTAAAAGACGATAAAGATGATAAAAACGGTTAAGGTTTCAGATGCTTTACAATGTGCTCAGCCGGCTGGTTTGTCCATTTACACACACTTTTATAGTCACATGATCTCTAATAACAAAATCAAATTTTTTTAATGTGTATACTGAAATTTGTTCAGTAAGTGTTTCCATTGTAGGTAATGCACATCTTATCGAATAAAAAAAATTCCTACTCAGTTATGTGCTAAGTTTTTTATGCATATTTTTAAAAATTGATGCATGTTTTGGTGTTTCCATCAACAATTTTTTTGTGTGTGTATATCTAAAATGTGCATAAAATAGGTGGATAGAAACGTAGCTAGTGTTGTTTCTTATTCTTAATAATTTTGTAATTATTTTTTGCATTATAACTTTTTACATTTTACATTTTTTATTTATGGTTATTATTTGATCAGTAACCTCAATACTTTTAGCAGAAAATTGATATCATACACACTTTTTGTTGATTCTGGAAAGTCAGAATAGTGTGAAAAGGCTCCACCCTCTTCAAGAAACCAGCAGCTCATTTGCATTTTAATAAATTAACAAACAAAAATGCTTACTTGCAAATAGGGGAAAATTTGCTTCAAGCTATCATAAATGATTTTGTATTTTGAGCTGAAACTCCAGGGTTCCATTAGTTTGATACATTTCCAGGAGTGACCAACCTTGGATTTTATGTATTTGCTGTTGGAAAGGAGAAATGTACCTCTGGAGAAAATGTACTAAACATATCCAGCTAAATTTCTCAAATTGTCAAGTGTTCTGTAAACATTTTATTTTTTACTGAAAGGATAAAGACAGAGGTTGTCTATTTTTGTGCCTGGCCTCAAGGACTCAAGGACTCACAGTTGTGGACAAATTACTGTCAGAGGTGGCCTGTGTGCAGCTGTCGGAGCGCACTGACACATGATGTTCCTACTGCCCTCCATAATCATTCTTATAGCTGTTTATTTACAACAGTTCTGTCATCCTTTACTCACCCTTACCTTATGTCATTTCTAGAACCCTATGTTTGTTTTCTTCCCCTCCTCCTGAGAATTCAAAAAGGAGAAGTTTAATTGATTGTCCAAGCGCCTCTTTTACAAATAAATGTTCAAACAAATAAAACAAAATAATAGCGATGTTAATATTGAATGTATAATGTATTCCTGTGATTTCAGAGGCAAATTTTTTTAATTTTTTAAGCATTATTACATAAAGCACACAATTCTTTAGAAATCACGCAAATCGATGGACAATCAATTATATTATATATATATATATATATATATATATATATATATATATATATATATATATATATATATATATATATATATATATATATATATATATAACATTTTTTATATTTTCTGATGATATGAATATTAATTAAATATTTATTAATTAAATATTTATTACATTACACTCTGTTATAACCATAAATTAATATGATTTAAAAGCTTGGAGTCAGTATGATAAAAAAGTAGTAATTAAAAAGTTAAGAAAGATGCTTTAAATTGATTAAAAAGGAGGTTGAAGAAAATAACATTTCTATTTTAGATGGATGCTGTTCCTCTGAATTATCTATTCATCAAAAAAGCTGAAAACAATGCTTTTCTGCGCTTTTCAACATACTGTAGTCCCGTACAATCAATTAAATATGAAGCAACAACCCCCTGGGCTATTAATGATGCAATGATAGTGATGAAAGTATATTAATAATAATATTAATACTAATGATACTGATACCGATACTACTACTACTACCACCACCACCACTAAATAATAATAATAATAATAATAATAATAATAATGTCATAAAAATGCTAAAAAATTGATTCTTGGATGCCTCATGAAATTTAATTCTAATAAATTGGATCAGCCCAATCTCCGAAGATAAAATATGATTGTGGATCAGAGCATTATTACTTGTTAAATGTGAGCCGCAGTGCTTTTGCTCGACTGACATTTTTTAATGAACCAATTAAATCGGCATTTGTCAGTAGTCTTTGAGTAACAGTGGTGTATTTGGCTGTAGTTTTGGAGAGGAATAACCTCAAATATCTCACTGTAGCCTCAGTTTTCAGCAAATGTGAAAAAAAAAGATTACATAATGAGATTTTTAAGGACACCGGCAGCAGATTTTTAGAGGGGCTGAAGCTTAAATAGGTCTGAAAATGCCTGTGGTGCCAAGTTTGAATTTGAAAGCGCAAATAAGTTATAAGAGCCAAAACAGATGGGAAGATTTGACTGGAAGTACTTAAAGGGATAGTTCACCCAAAATTGAAAATTCTGTTATTTTTACACATGCCACCACTTCACTTGTTTTAAATCTGTTTGACCTTATTTTTTCCTGTTGAACACAAACAAGGTATTTTAAAATATATTCAAAAACTGTATCCATTTACTTGCCATTTACTCACTATCAAGTGGTTATAAACTTACATGAGATTCTTTCTTCGGTTAAGATATTTTAAAGAAAGCTTGAATCTTGTAACCATTGAGATCCATAGTGGGAAAAACAAATATAGTGGGTGTCAATGATTACAGGTTTTAAGCTTTTTTAAAATGTCTTCTTTTGTGTTCAACAGAAGAAAGAAAATCAAATGGGCTGAGAACAAGTGAAAGGTGAGGAAATTGTAAGAGAATTGTCATTTTTGGGTGAACTGTCACTTTAAATAATATATTTTTTCCTACTATGGATGTCAATGGCTGCCAGTTTTAAACATTTTTCTAAATA